CATGTTTGTTTTTATTTATTTATTTATTTATTTATTTATTTATTTATTTATTTAGTTTGTTTGTTTATACATGCACTGGGTACATGCACAGCCTGGCCCAGGACCCTAGAATTAAGGGGAGAAGGTGACAGAAAGAACAGATGGCCCACTGCTTGTGCAGGGTGCCAGGATGAAAGGCAGTGGACATGTCACCCCCATCACATCCTTTCACACCCCACCACAGCGAATCCTGTAGTGAAATGAATGCCTTTGGTTATGATGGGAGGGGCCTGTGTCCTGGCAGGGAAGCCCCAGAGCTCTGCTTGTGGAGGTCTTGTTGTTGGAATTGAGACTCTTGCATCTCCAAGTATCTGCTGTGCTGTGTCCAGTCAGAAGCGCGGGAGGGTGAGAGAATTCACCAGAGCCAGAGCGGGGAGCAGAGCAGGCAGAAGGACCGAAGTACACTGCTGAGGGGAGCAGCGGGCGGCAGGAGAGGTCTGCGCGCCATGCGGGAGCCTCCTCCGGTGGCCGGGGAGCAGCCGGGGATCAAACCGGCGCCGCAGAGGCCGCGGGCAGCTTCGCAACCCAGCGCTCAACCGCTGCGCCACCGGGGAGGCCCGATTTTCTTAATCTTGACTTTCAACATCCTTTAGTTTTTGCTGTGTGCTATGTATTCAACTCATGTGTACGCTCTCCTCAAATGTATCTTTTTTCTTTTAAAAGTTTATCATATACAATATATATGTGTTTGTTTGGCATCTTACTTTCATATTTTGTTTTTCCAGAATACGTTCTGTATACTCTTAGGTGTGTCCAATGGTACTAAAAATTATGTTTGCCTGTTTTCTAATGGAAAACTGATCTATAATTATGAGTCATATGTATATATATTCACTACCCATGCCTTAAAAGAAACATTAAAATGGTATTCTTAAAAGAAGCAGGAAAAGGTGTCCCATAGTCTTCTAACTCTTTTCCATCTCCAAACCCATCTAAATCTTGCTTGGTTTCTTTTTTTTTTTTTTTTTCAGCAAAGTCTTTGGCTTTACTTTTAGCCCATAATGTTAGTTGAATCATTATTTTTTAGTAAAAATTCAGTTTTGAAAGCAAAACATTGTACATTATTTAAATATTGCTCTATTTCTAAATTTATTGTACTTTAAAATTGCTTCACCATTTCCATTTTCATTATCGAGATGTACCAATCTTTAGATAATCTTAAATTTACAGTTAATTTCTGAAATTTTACTGTTTTCCTCTTTCTTTCAGTCTTAAATAATAACTTGCTTTAATATAATCAACCTAAATCTTTCCCTCTTCAGAAATCTGAGAACCTGTCCCTTTCAATTCTGCATCTAATATTTCCAAGAATGTGTGACTTTATGTATTTCTTTACAAGTGAACAGAATTCTCTCAGTGATCTCTGGAAATTTAGAAGATTCTTTCCTAAACTTGAAGTTTAGAAACGTCATCAAATTCATCTATCTATTTCTCTACTCCCTGTTTATAAATCAACCTATGATGGAGCGATAGATCCATCCATCCATCCATTCATCATCAATCATGTATCTAGTGATTTCTCTTTGCTATTTGTTTTTCTTCTCTTTTACAGTTGCAACAACAATTTTTATGTTGATTTTCCATTGGTTATGCTCCCTGAAATAAATGAGAAAGAGCAGGCAAGTAACATACAAAGAAAATGACAGTTGTAATACTAAAACATTAATTCCATGATCATCATGAGTAAACTGCATCATCACAGTTGCCAGAAAGGCCCCCGAACTCTGGTGGGAGCCCTGTGTCACCTTTGCATTTTGTCTCAGTTATCCTCAGGGCCCCAGGGTCCAAACCAATTCTTTCCTGGTGGGGGAGTCTGGGTGGCAATCAGGAGGTAGGGGTGACTTGAGGATTGGAAAGTTGCAAATGACAGAACCAGGGCCCAGGAGGCCATCCCAAGGCAGGAAGGAACAGAGAACTGCTCCCCCTGGTGGCTCTGGGTGAGTCTGCCTGACCCAGGGATGTGCTTTCTTTGGCCTGTGCTTTTTCCATCTGAAGGTCCAGGCTGATGCCTGTCCCCCTGCTCAGGCTCCAGAATCCAGGAGTTACACAGCATGGCATCCAAAAAATGTATCCTTTTCTCCTACAGCGTGTCAAAACGCCACTGCTGAGAGCACTGAAGTTCTTTCCTGAACGGACCTATGTCTGACATATGCCTCACTTACACTACTGATTGCTCTCCCTCAAAATCCATGTTCTCCATTTGAGACTTCTCAAATGCCTGAGCCTCAACCCAAATCCTCCTTGGAGGCCAAGATAGATCCTTCTTGCTATAACATGGTCTCTACAATAAAGTGAGGCATTTTTACACTTATAATGACGAATGATATTGTCCTTTAAAGTTCAAATATGACACAGTTCTTGTGAGACTGGATGTCCTGGTTTTTCTACAAAAATAAAGTGAGGCATTTTTACACTTATAATGACGAATGATATTGTCCTTAAAGTTCAAATATGACACAGTTCTTGTGAGACTGGATGTCCTGGTTTTTATTATGTCTAAAGACATAAAAGATGGCCTCTTTCTTATGTCTTTAGAATAGCTCCTTGCATATTTAGTAAAACTCTGTCATGATGCCTCTGGCTTAGAAGAGTTTTAGAGAAGATGGTGCTCACTCATCTCTCTCTCTCTCTCTCACACACACACACACACACACACAGACTTTGTGCAAGACAACAGGTCTAGCACAGCCTGGCCCAGGACCCTAGAATTAAGGGGAGAAGGTGACAGAAAGAACAGATGGCCCACTGCTTGTGCAGGGTGCCAGGATGAAAGGCAGTGGACATGTCACCCCCATCACATCCTTTCACACCCCACCACAGCGATCCTGTAGTGAAATGAATGCCTTTGGTTATGATGGGAGGGGCCTGTGTCCTGGCAGGGAAGCCCCAGAGCTCTGCTTGTGGAGGTCTTGTTGTTGGAATTGAGCCTCTTGCATCTCCAAGTATCTGCTGTGCTGTGTCCAGACAGCCTCACCCATCACAGTTCATGAACATTTATCCCTGCGGTGTGATGGTCCATCATCCTTTTCTGCAAAATAAGCTTGGGCAACGACTCCAAGATGGGAGGAGATGAGGTAGGAGGCAGGGAGTAGTCAGTGCTGAGTGCCCATGTGGCTCAGTGCAGGGCGGGCACTGCTGTCCCAAGTATGCAAGAGTCAATGATGCATTTTCTGAGCCTACCTATCCAGGTCCCCTGAGCTCTCAGCACCAGTCCACAGCACCCCCTATTAGGCTCAGAATATAGCACATCTTCTAATGCTTTTCACACTCCCAGCTCTCCTGGTGGGTGCTGATGTTCTCACGTCATTGACTGTCACTAGTTGAGGCAGTAGAAAGAGTAGGTCGCTTCAGGGGACTCCCCAGTTGCACAGCGGTTGAGCGCTGGGCTGAAAAGCTGCCTGCACACTCTGCAGCACTGGGGTTCGATCCCAGGCCCCTGGGTGAGGGTCCCACATGAGCGCGCAGACCTCTCCTGCCGCCCACTGCTACCCTCAGCAGTGTACTTCGTCAGTCAGCCTGCTCTGCTCCCCGCTCTGGCTCTGGTGAATTCTCTCACCCTCCCGCACTTCTGACTGTACCCAGTGCTTGTATAAATAAATAAATCTTAAAAAAAAAAAAAAGAGTAGGTCGCTTCCAAGGTGTGCGCATCTGAGACATTGTTTTTTTCAGGTCACTGAGGACCAATAGGTAGCAAAATGTAACATTTATGTCACCAAATAGTTTAAGATGACCTGGCCACTGGGTTTGCTGCTACATTGTCCCTGGTTCATAACCAAAACATCACGAACTGGAGCCAAGGTCCAGGCTTACGATCCCCAGAGCACGTGTTGGTAACAGTGGTAATCATTCTATCTGGTGAGCTCTAGGTTTAGAGAAGTGATATATATCCAATATCATCCCTAATGAGGGAAAGGAATTAGGAATAAGGGGTGAAGTGATATAGTGAGTGTCAGGTCTGAGAGACCTGTCCCAGTGGGGAGGGGTCTCCTGGGGACCAGAGAGCAGGAGCAGCTCAGGAGAGCAGTCTGCAGGGCAAGAGAGAAGCCCAGCGTCCTTACACGGTCAGGGTTATGGGGGGAGAAGAAGGCCTGGACCCGGAGTGGGGACATGCAGGTGCTGGGAGAGGACACCTGGGTCTCCCAGGTCCCAGAGGTGGGACGTCTGTTTTCTTTGCCAACCATCAATGGGATTTTGTATCTGGTAGCAACTGCATGCATCTGCACTGGGAGAACAGTAAGAAAAGAAACGTTGTCACTTCCCTTGTGAAGACAGAGCAAGGGAAGGGGGTGGACCTGACGGAGCTCACAGCTACCGTGCCAGCAGGGCCCAAACTGAGCCGTTGGGTCTGCAACAAGGACATGGCCTTCATAACAGAGGTGGTGTGGACACCAGGAGCCAGAGGATGAGTTTGAATCTAGGGGTCAGTAACATCTGTCTTGGGTCACTCAGCAGGGAGTATGCCTTTGAGGCTTAGGTAACATTGCCATGGGGACCCCCAATGTTTCTTCTGCTCCCTGGGCAGGAGAATGTCACCTGGATTCTGGACTCATGAAAGGCTTCACCAGAGGAGGCTCACAGACCATTATTGGGGAGCTCCTGCTCTTGATGCTCACAGCCCACCCCACACGCTGCGCTGTTGGACAGGAGAGGGGCACACCACTCACGGGAGTCCCCAGGGGTCCGGTGTGGTGTCAGCTCTAAGAGCGTCTCTATTTCACCCCTTTCCTTGGTGTAGACTCGGCTGGTTCACATTGTGGAGAATCGCTCTTACCCTTTCATGTCCCACAAGGGGGTTTGCTGTCCTCACGTCCTGAGTCATCAACTCCCTATGCCTGACCCCCGTCCCGACTCCACAACTGAAGGCTGAGGTGCCCATGAGAGCGCAGGGCAGCTCTGTCTGAAATTCCTGCTGGGCCTGATCCTCACACGGCATCTCATCTCTTCGTGCCTGTTTCTTGGGACACAATCTTGTGGGCCCTTCCTTCCCCCACTTCCTGGGAGGGAAGTGTCTCTGGGGAGCAGAGTCCCTGCTGTGAGGACTGTGCACCTGCGGGGGGTGGGTCTCTGGACACTGAGAATGAGAGTGGGGAAGTCTCCTCTTCCTTACCTGGGTAAGAGAAAAAGGGCAGCTTCACGATTAATCACATTAATAACTTGGCAGCCTTCCAGAGTCATTCGTTAGTTTATTCTTAATGTTAGTTATTTTTCCTGAGGTTTTAGAAACACTGAATGTTTAATTGTAGCAGATCCATTATGAACTCAGAGGTATTTCAACGTATAGTGTGCATATGCACAGTTATTTAAAAATGGCCACATAACAAGACTGTGAGCAGGCTGAGGTTCCTGTCCCATGTCCCCTTCTGTGTGTGTCACTGTGAGAATCACCGCCATGGGAGACCATGCAGCAGTAGTCGGCCTCGTCCTCAGGCTGCGGCCCCGAGACGAGCAGGAGCCCTGCGTTGGCCGAGGTGTCCTTGGCTCCAGAGAAGCGGCTGGGGACCCCGGGACCCCGGCCCTTATCTGAGTCTGTGTGGTAGTTCAGGAGATAGCAGGGAGGGCTCCCTGGCTTCTGCTGGAACCAGAATATCTTTTTGCTCTGGACACTGACGTCATTGCTCAGGGTGCAGGTGAGTCTGGCTGTTGCTCCAGGAGACGCAGAGAGGGAGGGCTACTGAGTCAGCACAGGCTGGGAGAGGGAACCTGCAAGTACAGACACTCATGGGTGAAGGGACAAGGACCAGATACAATTTTATGAATTACTGTGTGAGACAGACTGAAAAAGCTTGCAGTGACACCTGGTCCTTGAGGCCTGTCCCCACCTGTGCAGTGAGAGAGGATCACGAGGAGGAGAGGCGTCCAGGCCATGGTGCTCACAGCCCCTGAGCCCCACATGGGGCTGGGCTCCCCAGGCCTCCTTTTCTTCCCCACCCTCTGCCACAGGAGGGGCTGTGCATGCAAATGGGCTTCCATCCAGGGACTTCTCAGCCCTCCCTGAGCCTTAGTGCTGCAGCTCAGCTCACACCCCACACTGAGAAAGACGAGGGTTTGCTTCACCCCTTGGGAGAGCCCTGGGAGGAAGCACCTGTTGACACCACACACAGGGCCCTGCTCAGAGGGCTGTGCCGGACCAGGGAGGACACAACAGTTCAATCTCCATCAGGTAGCCAAGCACTCAGCCCCCAGGCCCTGGCTCCTCTGAGTGAATTGCCCAGGGGCCATCCCACAGTGCCACCTGCTGGTCATGGGGCCCACATTCACCAGGGCCCAAAGCCCTGAGACCCCCAGCTCATGTGGTCACTGTCTCTATTCCCACATTCACAGCCTGATTACCAGAGATTGCTATGCTGACATGCTGTGCTAGACTCCTGTAAAGTTTTCATTTCCAGAAGGACTCCTGGTCCATGCAGGTGCCTAACAGCATGTGTGCGTGTAGTCATATGTATGTATAAATAGTCAAGCACATTTAATGTTATAACCCTTTCTCCTATAGTACATTCTAGAAAAGTCGCATCATCCACAAGTGTGTAAAAGCAGCATAGATGACGACGGACAGTTGAGTTGGTTGGACTATGTCCTATGGAGGGAAAGGACTTTTCCATTCTACATGGAATGTCAATGTCACATTTGAACATGAAAATTCAGCAAACGGTTCAAAAATCATGGAATGCTTTTAGACTTTTGATAATGATTAGATTGATTTATAAAAAACTAATGGTTTGCTAGGCATACCGCTTACTCAGCACTTACAAGTAATGATGTAACACATTTCTTCATTCATGAACATAATAGATGGCTGGGTACAAGGAGCAATCAGATCCACCTGACTCAGGCACATTGGCATTGTCCAGGTGTTTCCAGAAGTGAGATTGATACGAAGCCTACAGAATTCTTACTTGATCTTTTTTTTGAACACATTGTTAATTGTATTTACTTTTCTGAACAAGCGGCTGCATCCCTGGTCCCTGGCTCTCCTCTCTGCATTCAGCTGCCCCATGTAGATCTTCCCATTGCTGGGATATACATTAACAAACATTCTTTTCCTCCCTCACACACACTCGCTTTTTATCTTTATTTTTTTATTTTTTTTAATAAAGATTATTTACACATACAAGGGCTGGGATACAGGCCAGAGATGCCGGGGGCAGTGAGAGGATTCACCAGAGACAGCATGGGGAGCAGAACAGGCAGACTGACTGAAACACACTGCTGAGGAGAGCAGCAGGTGAGACAGGAGAGGTCTGCCTCACCATGTGGGTTTCTCCCTGGCCGGCGGGGGATGGAACTCATGCTGCAGGGGCTGCAGATCGCTTCATAGTGTGGTGCTTAACTCCCTTGTGCCACCAGGGACACCCGAGGCTTTTTATCTTTAAATAGGAACTCCAGACTCCGGCTTTGTGTGTTCGGAAGATGTGCCTCATGTTATAAACAAACTGTGCAGCCACCAGGGAGGGAGGGAGGAAGGGAGGAAGAAAAAAGGCAGTCCCACTGTTTATTTACACTGGCAGTAGTTTTCAAAGCGCAGACCTGGAGAACAGCAGCTCTGCCACCAGGAACAGGGGCTTATGGTCCACAGTTCTTCATTATTTGTTTCTTTCAGATAGTCTTATCTATCACCTGAAACTTGATAAGCCTTTTTCATGATACATGCAGATCAAGGTCACATAAAAATCTTCCCAAGCTGGATTCTTGCTGAGTCTGAGCATCTCTAATTAAATGCACTCTTTGGAAGAGCCCCACCGGCCCTCTTCAGGCCAGCAGGAGGAGGGCAGTGCCCCCAGGGACGCACTAGCTGAAATATCTGGTCCCAGAGAGTAGGGCGGGACAACAGGCAGGCTCCAATCTGGACTCTTCCACTAGTTGCTGGAGAGGAATTCTTTTGTTTTGGCTTTGAAATATGAAAAGAAAACAGGATCCTGTCCCTTGTGGTCTAAAAGAACACTGCAGAACGAAGGCGGCAAGTGTCACCTGGACTGAGTGAAGAAGGAGTGAATCTGCTGTGCTGCTGCTGGTCTGACCACTGGCTCCAGTTGTTGGATGGAAGCTTTACCGAGTTGCTGGAGGCTTGGAAACTTCTGAAGCAGTAGGGGAGCTTTAGTTTTTCCAATCCCTGGGATCTGTTGCACGGTTCTAAGAAGGTGGGGCTCAGAAATCTGAGCCTGTTTCTTCATGAGAAAAGGGTTTTTACTGGGATCTTTGGTTTGCTCTTGAACTAACTTCATAATGAGGCAGGATGCCTCCCTCTGGCTGGCCACTGGAAGCAAGACCATCCCTAGGTCCAACACAGTAAACTTCTGTATGGCTGGGAAGTACTGTTCACTCATTTGAGTTTTTTCAACTGCTACAATCCCTTGAAGAGTATTAGAATTTCTAGCCCGAACAAGCCACTTTCTGTAGCCATTCCCTGCCACCAAATCAGCGTCGGTGATACAAAGAATACAGGATCTGCAGGATAGGTAAAAATCTACCAGTGTCAAGCCATCCTCAAACACGAGTTTGTCTTTCCCTTGCATCTCCTGTACCTGCTGGCACCCGTGCCATTTCTCATTAGCCACATGTGACCAAAGGGCAGGTGCATGGTGCCTGCACCATTAGGAGGACTCCTTTCCATTGGTGGCCTCAATCGAAGGAGGGAACCACAAGAAAGTGTTGGAGCAGACTGACCTGCACATGGTCCCACATTCCACTCCCAGCTGGGAGTGGTAGGAGCCCATCTGCAGTGTTGTTCTTTAAAGGATTGAATCATCTGCCAATGTCTAAGACGCAGGAGATTGGAGTGCTGGTTGCCAAGTCCCTCATTTATGCCGCCTGCCTGGTCCCTGTCACTCTGGCTCAGTCCTCAGTCCACCTGGAGCCCATCACTATTTGTTTGTTTGTTTGTTTGTTTTTTTACAGAGTTCTTACTTGACAAGTTACAGGTCAAGTGAACAAAGTGTCACTTGAATCATAAACATAAATTATCATGGCCCCTAAATCCATTCCAAGAAGTGAGTCAGTTTATGATACCACGGTTCTTTGAATGAAGACAGCCAGGTCAACTTGATTAAAACCCCTGATAACTGCCAAAAATTATCCTATGATCTGTCTTCCTGTCATCCCCAAAAGGACCTTTAATCCTTGATTAGGTGAATGCGCAATGTGGAAATGGAAATAACCAGAAACCTTGGGAACACAGGGCATTAATTCTGAGTTAACATTGACTCCAGGGAACCACAATGTAACTGTTGTCTACCAGAGCACACATTTATGGAGACTGGGTGCTAACTGTGTGGTTTTAGTGCATAAATGTCCCAGAGGGTCCCCAAACCCACCCTATATTTTTCTTCCAAGTTCCATACATCATGATCAGGATAAGTTATAACTCAAAGCTGATAGATTCTCAACAAAGGTTACTGGCTGATACCGATTGACCTCTGGCGAGAAGACTATTATGGCAAATTGGAAGTTTCTAGACTGGTGCCTACCTAGACATAAGCAATATCACATTTTTAGAGGAAATGCAAGCTTTAGTATCACCACGAAGAACTCAAAAAATGCCGAGTTGGTGATTCCAACCACATGCTTGATGTCGTGTTGCACAGAAGATATTCTTGGACAGTGACGATGGATTATCATATGGTTAACGAGGTGGTGACTCCCACTGCAGCTGCTGTCGCAGATGTGGTTACAATTCTTGGACAAATGAACACATCCTCTGCTACCTGGTGTGCAGCTATGGATTGATCACATGCATTTTTCTTGCTAGTTCCTCACAATGTGCAGGTATGATCATTATGCACATAGCTACCTCACTACAGTTTCTCTCTGAGACACCTGTAGCACATTTTTAAAGAAAATCCCTCCCAGTGAGCTGAACTTTGAGAAGGCGACCTGGCTGGTTACTTTATTCAAAAAAAAAAAAAGCACAAATAAATAAGAGGCCAGATGTGAAAGCACACAGGTTTGTGGGATGAAGCCAATGGTTTACTTGGGTGACCTAGTCTTGGAAGGAACATGACTCAAAACTCATGTTTGGAAAAACACTACACAGAATTATAATCTTGAATGCATAAATAAATGATTCTTAAATAAATACTTTGTCGATGACTAAGATAACTTGTTAAAAAGAAAATAAAGCAGAGCCCTTCATCAGTATTCAAATGAAACGTTATTTATGTGCCACTACATTCCAAAATAAAAGACGGCAAATGTAATTTGTCCATTGCACATTGAATCAATGGTTATTGTGGCTAAGGATCAGAGCTTCCGATTTTCTCATTTCTCATTTATTCAGCAAGCATGTGCTAAGGTACTGTGACAACCACTGGAATGACAATACAGAGATGGCACGGTCCGCTCCTCAGTGATCATGTATGCAGCATGACAGGTATAAACAGGGTGCTACTGGAACACAGAAGGAACTTCACGGTTTTGTGTCACTATTTTCCAGCTTTTTGGTGGAGGTGATATATGAACTGATACCTGAAGGGCAAGGCAAGGATATGCCAGACAGAGAAGAGATGCGGAGCCAAAGAGCTGTAGAGAAGGTAATGCACTGTGGCTTTATACAGTCTCGGTCGGTCAGATGCTAAAGTAAAGGGGCAGCAAAGGAAGTAGTGGGAGATAAGGATATGTAAGTTGGCAGGACCCAAATTTATTTGGCTGCTTTTATTCCATGCTGAGGATACTGGAACTTCCCCTGGGGGCAAAAGATAAACCCATGACAAACTAAATGAGTGTAGATTTAAATGTCACCTATCAAGTGACAGCTATTGCTGGACCGAGGACTAGTCGATGAGTATAGGTTTTTGTTTTGTTTTGGACCTTATTACTAGACACACAAGAAGCTGATGAAGCCCATCTTTTCTGAGAAAAGTTTTTTCTGTGTGCAGGTTGCTATTTCCACAAGGATGAAAGAAGTGAAGGAAGGGTAGAGCCAGAAATAAATAGAGCTATAGCAATCCTGAGGAAAGAGGAAACATGGAGGCACGTTACCTGATTTTAAACACTACGATTTAGTAATTAACACAATAGTGTATAGGAATAAAAGCAGACACAAAGCTTTGGAACGGAATCAGAGGCATGGCAATCCAGCTACACATCTATCAATTCCCAATTTATGACAAAAACGCCACAACCATGCAATGGAGAAAAGGACATCTCTTTAACAAGTGGGGCAGGAAAATCAGACAGACATGTGGGGAAGAAAGACCTTAGACCCACTCTCTAACTCCAAGTACAATGATAAGTTCATAAAGGATGAACAATAAAATACATAGAGGTGAGCATTGTTGATAGGTTTCAAGGCATCACTGACATAGATGTCTTTGGAGTCTATACTCTTAAGGCAAGGGAAACAAAAGCCAAATAAACAGATGAGATGACATCAAAATAAAAACCTTTCACACAGCAAAAGAACATATTAGCAGAGGAAAAAGACATCTCACAGAATGGATAAAATATCCACACAGCATGCAACTGACAAGGGATTGATATTCAGGTATACAAAGAACTCATCCAAAGTAACTCTTAGACAACTTTTTTGAGGCATTTGAAGTCATTATGGAGACATGTCTTTCTGTATCTTGATAGAGTAGTGATTTTTGATCCTTCTTACTGAGACTAGCATAATTGGGCAAACCAGTGGACCACGGACTTGGAACCACAACATTAAACCTAAACTGCTTTTTCACTTATCTAAAAATATTAAAAACAATCAACTTTTTCCCCAAAAACAGGCAAAGAAATTTCCTCAAAAATCTTCTCTAACATTGCTTCTGTATGTATACTCTACCTTATAAAATGATACATTATCTGATTTTTTAAAATTTTCATGAGAAAAAGAATATTTAACAATTTAAAGCCATATTTGACTTTCATTTTCTTTCTCTATCAAATAATCCAATTTCACAACTTTGAAGTTTCCACACCCATTTAGCTGCAAAGCTGAGTAAGAATTCTTAGCTTTACTGTGCCATGATTTATTATGACAAGAACCCAAATGCAAAAAATCATGTGAGATCTTTTAAAATGAGCTGTTGCTGCTTTTATGTTCATTAAGAAGAACATGAAAACACCATCAAAACCATAAGTTAATGTGCATTGATTGAAGTAGAAATTTTAATAAAAATGATAGCCAATAAAGCTAGCTGGTATTAAAAGATTCCTTTACATTGTTCTTGTAGTGGTCATTCAGTGATTGCAAGTTATAGAAACATAAGTTAACTCGTTTTTAAAAATTCAAATATTGGCCTCCCCGGTGGCGCAGTGGGTTGAACACAGGGCTGTGAAGCTGTCCAGCCTCTGCAGCGTGGGTTAGATTCCCGGCCAGCCAGAGAGATTTCCACATGGAGCAGCAGACCTCTCCTGTCCTGCCCAGTGCTCCCCTCAGCAGTGCTTTCGGTCAGTCTGCCTGCTCTGCTCCCCACTGTCTCTGGTGAATCCTCTCAGCCTCCTGCACCTCTGGCCTATATCCCAGCTATTATATAAATAAATAAATCTTTAAAATAAAATAAAAATTCAAATAGTTGTTTGATTTGACTATTTGGGAAGTGGTCCATATTTTATAAAAAGAGATTAAAAATGTTAAAAGATAAAATTGTGCTTAAGGATGTATTCTTATGTAAGATAGTGACAACAGAAATTAATTTTTAATAATTAATTTATGCTTAATTCATAAAAAGGAGTTACTGTAAATGATAACATCTGTTTAGATGTCAGTCATAAACTTATTGCATGGTGGAAAAATGAGACAGGTAATGTACAGAGAAACTTTAAAATTCTTATGAACCACAGTCCAACTGAAATCAATCATAAAGTAAGCCAAAGTATCTCAAAGTATACTTCCAGTTATCAAGCATTAATATTTAATTTCTAAGATCTAATTAAACACAGATTTTCAAGAAATTTTAAATGTGTTGATTTAGTTACATCTAATTCAATAATGTCAGTGATTTTGAAAATGAGAGCACCAGGGACTTGTAATTTTAAATTTTATGTCTACTTTATTAGCACAAGTAACTGACATTTACTTAGCGTGTATAAATAAGTCAGTTGAACAACTAAGAATTTTGTCTAAGTACAAATGAATATTGCATCAGAAATTTGAAACCCAAGGTAATATAAAATTTGTCAAAAGGTAATATAACTAACCTTGTCATAGTTATGTGTCTGTGCTTTCATTTTAAGGCCATGGGTTGAAGGTAGGAAAAGTTGTTGAATTTCCTCTTGTTGTAAGATAACTATCAAGCATGAAACGATTATTAAGACTATTAATAGAATGTGTAGCAGAAGATAGCAGTAGGTCTAGCCTTGGAGGAGGCGCGTTGAATACATATTCGTGATGTGTTTCCTTCACAAGAGGTTCAGTATTGACTTCTGTTAGCTTCTTGATGGCCCCGTGAAGACTGAAAAATCCAAATCCTTATATTTTATTTTTGCCTAAATAATTTGCACTTTAAAAACAAATGTTGCCATAACATGAATTTCCCATAAAACAATGTTTTAACACTCAAAACGTGTTGGTGCATACCTACTATTTACAATTAGGGGTTTAAAAGTGTGGTAAAGAAGCCCATGTTTCCGGGAGGGTTCCTAATAAGTAATTCAAAGCAGGGAGGGTGGGCAGTGTTGGAGGCGGCTTCAGGGATAATGCCAAGCATTTCCTTTCACTATCCGTACACATTTCACTCAGTACCTCTGACAGTTAAACCTTTGGCACTGAAGATTAACTTAGAACAACAACTTCTAGGGGAGAACAGGAGAGCTGCCTGGTGGCTGACTAAAGAGAACTAAACAGCTCCAAGGAAAACAAAGCCCCTAATATTGTTACAAAGGCACTGGTGTTGAGATCTACCCATTTGGGCTTCCACACACCTCCTCAAGCAGAAGCAGAACCCAATATTTATTTGTAGTCAGTCTGTAAATGATACTACCCTTCACCTCCTGCAGCTTTCCTCATTTCACTTGTATGCCTTTCTGGAGAGCAGAAAATCTAAAACTGTGAAGGATAATTTGTCTCAGGGTGCCCTCTAGCAATAGTGTCAAAGATCACATTAAGAAAATTAATTCACCAGTAACCAAACTGTGCTAAGTGTAGTGATACTTGAAGACCACTTGAATTAAAATGGTAATCTTCAAAAAAAATAAACTCATTAATATTTCTACTGGGAGAATTATGACAAGCAATTTTATAACAATAACACTATTTAAGTTATAAAGTTTCAAATATCCTTATCTTAAAGTCTATTAGATCAGGTTAACTAGATGAAATTATTTAGGGCTAAAAATTAAGTCATGTAAAATCAACAAAAGAGGAGATTCAAACAGTCCTGCAGCAACGTTTTAAAGATAAGTTCACTTATTAACATTATTTTCCAAATAATAACCTCTTAGTAATTACATGAACCTGGATCTATAACAATTATGCTTTAGAGGTAAATAAGTGAACTAAGTTTCTTTCCCATAATTCCTGTTTTTACAACTTACGTGTTTACGGTAATTTGCAATGATTTTCTAGAGTTTGATTCTTCTAGATAGAGTTGCATGTATTTTCCCAATTTTATTCTCTGTGACTCTAATTCAGTTTTCAGTCTGCAATTTTCAGTTTCCAAATTTGTATTTTTGACTTCCATTTGACTTATTGAAGTAGTCTGAGTATCTCCAAACAGTTCTTGGGGTTCTATTTGTGCCTAAAGAAAATTAAAAAGCATTTTAAATGCTTATAATCTGGTTAATTATACAAGTTTCTTTCTGAGTCAGTGATTCAGAGAGCAATTTCAAACATGAAGGGCCTCCCTGGTGGCATAGGGGTTAAGTTATCAGTTCTATCACTGTGACCTGAGTTTGATCCCTGGCCAGGAAGCTAACCCACACATGGTGCAACAGACCTTTCCTATCTCACCTGCTGTTCCCCTTAGCAGTGTATTTCAGTAAATCTACCTGTTCTGCTCCCAATTCTGTCTCTGGTGAATCTCTTAAAACATCACCCCCGCCAACTGTACCTCTGGCCTACACTCCGGTTCTTCTAAGCAAAAATAAATTTTAAAAAATTGAAAATTTTTAAAAAAGTTTTCAAATGTGAAAAAGTTAGTTTAAAAATACCAATATCAACTGAATTCATTGTGAATTATAGAAATGAAATTGAATCATGCCCATAGTTGTACTCATGTAATCTGATAATCCAAAGAATAATAGAATCAATTTTAAAAGATGGTAATTGAACAATATAAATTAAGAATAGTCTGACAGCATGGTACTACTTTTAAATCATCATATTTTCTTGCAGCTACCTAAATAAGATATTTCTGTTCCTGATTTTACATCAATATGACTTTATTATGTAAATAATATACAATGCTAACATGTGTACTTTGAAAAATATCATCCATTGACCTTCTTTATCATACAACTTCTTCTTTACTGAATTCAGTTTAAGTAAGAGAAGTTGTTATCCTCTTGCCTAAACTGCTATGGAGCTTAGACAACAGATTCAAACCCCTAACCATTCTTCCCTGATCAATTTGCAAAACTTGACAACCCACTGAAACTCTCAAAGGGAAGTGGAGATGGAGGCGAGACTAATGGTGGCAAATTCCACACTGGGGAACATTTTCCCTCTTTTGTATTAGATCTTTACATTAACTTCAATTCTCGGCTTAAATCCTTCTGTCTCAGAATAAAAGTGAAGACTTTCCAATGGCCTTCAAGACACTTAGGACTCTGCCTCCACCTACCTTCCTGACCTCAACCCCTACAAATTTTCCCTCCTACACTGCCACCCCTCATTTGTCTGAAAATGGGGGTCTGGGGCCAAAGTAACATATCACAGAGTTATACAATTCTCTTAGTGTTGGATAATCTAGGTCCAAATGATAATAATTGAGCCTTAAAATGAGAATTATCAGAAAATTATTTATAAAAATGTTCAAAGTATAAATCACAGTGAGAAGATTAAATCAGAATTTTGCCAACATTTGTCTCAAATTATAATTTCATGAAAAATAGATGCCTTTAAAGTGCTGAGCAGGTCTTTAGAACACATAATTTGAGACTAAAATATTTTCAAATTCAATTCAAACTGACATGAGTAAAAATAAAGCTATATCAACTGTTATCTAAAATAACCAAAAAAAAAAAAAATAGTAAAGTTCTGAAAGAAAAGTTCTATGAGATGCAGCCTCTACATCTCAGTTCATCTGAAAAATCTGGAAAACCTTGACTGTCCAGGTAATACACTTACTTGACTATTAATTCCAAAATATTCATTTTAGGTATGAGCGATTTTACCTACCTGCCTCATCATAGTACAAAACTGGAGTTACAAAGATTCATATTTTTATTTTAGCAGAATGACTAAGTTATTAATATCAGTCTGTAGCTATTGACAACTTATTGTTTGGCCTTTTAAAATTTCATAGGTGAGATTAGAGAAAACAAAGACTCTGCGGAGACCTACAAATAGTCCAAGGTCAGCTGGTAAGCTTGTGCGGAAAAGCGGTGCACTTGAAAAGCATACGCGGGACACAACTGCCCAGGTCCCCGAGCCTGCGACCTAGGCTTGAGGGAAGATGCTCAGGAGCCCTCATTGAGGTGAATCTCCCTCACTAAGTAATCAGGCACATGGATATGGGAGCAGGGTGCAAAAGGCACCATTTCTGCAGACACTGAACTGGGCTACAGCCCGCATCCTAGACCTGAGGGCTTTGGAACTGAGACCCGGGGCATGGAATTTGGGGCATGGGAACCTCACAATGGTGGGGCACAAGGCAGATGCAGACCCCCATGCCGTTGAGGCACTCCACGTCACTCCCACGGGGTAAAAAAAAAGTTCCCTAAGGTCACTAGCAAAGAGCTCTGGGGCCAACTAGCGACCAGAAAAAAATCACCAACACCCTATAGTTGGAAACCCTCTCTCAGGCACTGAGAGCATGTGGGCCACGCAAACGGGGATAAGGAGGGAAATAAGGCGTGGAGCAAGACCCCATCGTGGAACTGAGAGCTAGGCACAGGATCCAGGGCGTGGGACGTGCCATAGCAGTGGCCACTGCACAGGGTGACAGCCAGTGTTTTGGATCTGATAGCCCAGGAACTGAGACATAGAGTGCAGAATTCAGGGTGCGGGATTCATACAGCAGTGGAAGAACACCGGGTGAACACAGGGCAGACACAGCACCCAGCTTGAATAAGAGCCCGTGTTGTGATGCTCCCCTCCGCACTCCCTCTGCTACTCAGAGAACCACTCGGAAAAAGCATGGGTCAGCAAGCACGGGCCTCTGGTGCCACCTCGCTACCAGAACTAAATCACTAACTAGCTGATTCTCTGTTGGAACTGAGTAAATATAGAGGGAGGGAATGTAAGGGACAGAGCCCAGCTTACAGCATCAACGCCAGGTGGAGTTTTGGCCTACCAGTGCTGGTCTCAGTCTGGTAAACAGTTTCCGACACCCTTAAAGGAGCACTCCAAAGAGATGCCCACCAACACCAGTGGCACAGCGTCCCAACGCATAGAACTAATTAGAAAGCAAACAACAGGGAGAAGAAAAAACATAAATAACCAAGCAAGCCCGCAGGAGGACACAACACAAAAAGAAATACAGTCACCAGAACTCAACAATGACATGGAACTTCTCGGCCTATCAGATAGAGAATTAATAATCATCCTGATTAAAAAGCAGAAAAAAAAATGAAAAGGAAAGAAAATGATTTGAGACAAATAATCATTGAACTGAAGAATGAAACTGAGACCTTAAGAAAGGAAAGAAAAGAAATGCAGGAGATAAAAAGATTACTAGAGGAGATAAAACTCTGGGAAAAGCAATGAAAAAAGAATCGATGAAATGGAAGAACAGATTAGTACTATCAAAGATACAGAAATAAAAAGAGCAAAAAGAGAAAAGGAGAGAGAAGTGCAAATGAAACAGTATATGGAGACTCTTAGACAATTATCAGACTCCATGAAGAGAGGAAATGTAAGAGTTATAGGCATTCCAGAAGGTGAGGAGAGAGACAAAGGAACTGAGAAATTATTCAAGGAGATAATTGAAGAAAACTTCCCAAGCATGAAAAAGGAAATGAATACAGACATACAAGAAGTGAGAAGAACTTCCAGTTACCATAATGAAAAGAAAATCACAGCAAGATACCTAGTAGTAAGCTTGAAAGTGTCCAAGACAAGGAAAAAATAATGAAACTGGCAAGGAGGAAGAAAAGATAACTTATATGGGAAAACCAATCAGGTTAACTTCTGACTTCTTTGAAGAAACATTACGGGCAAGAAGAGAATGGAATAATATATTCAGCAAAGTTCAACACAGCAAACATCAACCAGAATACTTTACCCTGAAAAACTCTCCTTCCTCTACGAAGGAAAAATATGAACCTTCTCAGACAAACAGAAACTCCAGAAATTCATTACAACTAAACCCCCACTCCAAAAAATTCTACAAGAAGTCCTAAAGCCAAAACCAACAGAGGAATGAACAAGAAGAACAGAATACAGCAAGGAATAAAATCACAAAAAAGCCAAACAAAATGGCAAACACAGAAGCCAACATATCAATATTAACTCTAAATGTAAATGGATTAAACTCATCAATAAAAAGACACAGAGTAGCAGGCTGGATTAAAAAACAAAATCCAACCTTCTACTGTCTCCAGGAAACACATTTAACCACAAAAGATAAACACAGACTGAAAGTAAAAGGGTGGAAAACAATCCTACAAGCAAATGGACCAAAAAAGAAGGCAGGAACAGCCATACTTATATCAGATGAAATAGACTTCAAATTAAAAAAAGTAAAAAGAGACATAGATGGACACTACATTATGATCAAGGGGACAATATATCAGGAATATATAATACTCATCAACATATACTCACCAAATGAAGGGGCACCAAAATATATTAGACAATTATTATCAGCTCTGACAACAGATATTAAAGAAAATACATATATAATGGGAGACTTCAACACCCCACTCTCACCAACGGACAGATCAACAAGACAAAAAATAAACAAAGACACTACAGACCTAAATAAAGACATAGAACTCACAGTCTTAACAGACATCTATAGGACACTGCACCCAAAAAAATCCAAGTACACATTTTTCTCAAGTGTGCATGGATCATTCTCCAGAATCAATCACATAATGGGCCACAAACAAATATCAACAGATACATGAAGATCAAAATCATTCCAACTATCTTCTCCAATCATATAGGCATCAAGCTAGAAATAAATCATGACAAGAAAACAAGGAACCCTCCAACTTCATGGAGATTGAAATCCACACTACTGGAAGACCACTGGACCAATGAGGAGATCAAAGAAGAAATTAAAAAATACTTTGAGTTGAATGACAAGGAGGACACCACTTACCAGAATGTATGGGATGCAGCAAAAGCAGTAATAAGAGGAAAATATATAGCAATACAGGCTCACATCAACAAACAAGAAAGAACTCAAAGAAACAACCTAATCTCACATCTCAAAGAACTAGAAAAAGAACAACCAAAAAAACCCTAAAGCCAGTAGAAGAAAGGAAATAATAAAACTCAAAGCAGAAATAAATGAAATGGATATTTAAAAAAACAACCAAAAGATCAATGAAAGCAAAAGTTGGTTCTTTGAAAGAATATAAACAAAATAGACAAACCTCTAGCAAGGCTCACAAAGAAAAAAATGGGAGAAAACACATATAAATAGGATAATAAATGAAAGAGGAGAAATCACAACAGACTCAGTAGAAATCAAAAGAATAATCAGAGATTACAATGAAAACTTATACGCAAACAAATTCAACAACCTGGAAGAGATGGACAAATTCCTAGAACGATATAATCATCCAAAGCTGGACAAAGAAGAAATAGAACAACTAAACAGACCAATTACAAGCAGCGAAATTGAAGCAGTAATCAAAGCACTCCCCAAAAACAAAAGCCCAGGCTCAGATGGCTTCACAAATGAATTCTACCAAATGTTCAGCAGTGAATTAGTGCCTATCCTGCATAAACCCTTTCAAAAAATTTAAAAAGAAGGAATACTACCAAATGCATTCTATGAAGCCAACATTACACTAATAACAAAACCCAACAAAGACATCACAAAAAAAGAAAATTACAGGCCAATCTCCCTAATGAACATTGATGCAAAAATCCTCAATAAAATCCTTGCCAACAGAATCCAACAATGCATCCATAAGATAATTCACCAAGTAGGATTTATTCCAGGGACACAAGCATAGTTCAACATCCAAAAATCAATCAACATAATCCAACACATCAACAAAAAGAAATATAAAAACCACATGATAATATCCATAGATGCTGAGAAAGCATTTGACAAAGTACAACACCCATTCATGATAAAGGCCCTTGAAATTCTCGGGATACAAGGAACATACCTCAACATCATAAAGGCCATCAATGACAAGCCAACAGCCAATATCATTCTCAATGTTGAAAAGCTGAAAGCATTCCCATTAAGATCTGTAACAAGACAAGGATGTCCACTCTCACCACTGCTTTTCAACATAATACTGGAAGTCCCAGCCACAGCAATAAGACAAGAGAAAGACATACAAGGAATCCAAATAGGCAAGGAAGAATTTAAACTATCACTATTTGTGGACGATATGATAATATACATAGAGAACCCCAAAACTCCACAGAAAAACTAATTAAACTAGGGCCTGCCCGGTGGCGCAGCAGTTGAGCGCTGGGTTTTGAAGCTGCCCGCAGCCTCTACAGCGCCAGTTCGATCCCTGGCTGCTCCCTGGCCCTGGAGTGGGGTCCCACAAGGCGCGCAGACCTCTCCTGCCATGCCCACTGCTCCCCTCAGCAGTGTACTTCAGTCCTTCTGCCTGCTCTGCTGCCTGCTCTGGCTCTGGTGAATTCTCTCACCCTCCCACGCTTCTCACTGTACCCAGTGCTTGTATAAATAAAAAAAAATATCTTAAAAAAAACCCAAAACTAATTAAACTAATCAATCAGTTTAGTAAAGTGGCATGATACAAAATCAATGCACAAAAATCAGTAGCCTTCCTACACACAAACAATAAATCTGAAGAAGAAGAATTCAAGAAAACCATACCTTTTATTACTGAAACAAAAAAATCAAATACTTGGGAATACACCTAACAAAAGAGGTAAAGGACCTATACAAAAAAAAAAAAAAAAAAAAAAAAAAAAAACTATAAAAGGCTATTAAAAGAAATAGAAGTAGACACAAAGAAATAGAAAGACATGCCCTGCTCATGGATCGGAAGGATTAACATTACCAAAATGGCCATTGTACCAAAAGCAATCTACAGATTCAATGCTATTCCAATTAAAATTTCAATGTCATTCTTCAAAGATATAGAAAAAAATATTGATGAAATTCATATGGAGCCACGGAAACACCAAATATCCAAAACCCTCCTGAAAAAAAAAAGAAGGGAATGGAGGCATCACACTCCCAGACTTCAAACTATACTACAAAGCAATAATAATCAAAACTGCATGGTATTGGAACCAGAACAGACACACAGACCAATGGAACCAAAAAGAAAACCCAGAAATAAACCCACAGATTTATGGTCAACTAATCTTTGACAAAGGAGCAGGAATATGCACTGGAGCAAAGAAAGTTTGTTCAATAAATGGTGCTGGGATCACTGGGTCACTACATGCAAATGAATGAAACTTGCCTACTAACTCACACCATGCACAAAAACCAACTCAAAATGGATTAAAGAATTAGACATAAGACCTGAAACCATAAAATATACAGAAGGAAATATAGGCAAACCACTACATGACATGCACCTCAAAGACATCTTTACAGACACATCGCCCAAAGCAGTGATAGTAAAGGCAAAGATAAACAGCTGGGACTACATCAAATTAGAGAGCTTCTGCACAGCGAAAGAAACAATAACTAAAACAAAGAGAAACCCCACGGACTGGGAGAAAATTTTTACACACAACACTAATGAGAAAGGACTGATCTCAAAAATTTACAGAGCTGATAAGACTCAACAAAAATAAAGAAAGTAATCCAGTCAAAAAATGGACAGAAGAGCTAAAAAGAAACTTCTCCAAAGAGGAAATACAAATGGCCAACAGGCATATGAAAAAAATGTTCAACATCACTTGTAATCAGGGAAATGCAAATCAAAACTACCATGAGATACCATCTCACACCAGAATGGCACATATTAAAAAAAACTAGCAACAGCAAATGTTGGTGAGGATGTGGAGAAAAAAGAACTCTCCTGCACTCTTGGTGGGAGTGCAAACTTGTCCAAACACTATGGAAAGGTGTGTGGAGATTCCTCGACCTACTAAAGATAGAGCTTCCATATGATCCAGCAATTCCACTCCAGGTATTTACCCAAAGGACACAGAAACATTAATTCCAAAGAGCACCTGCACCCCTATGTTTATAGCAGCACTGTTTACAATAGCTAAGCTTTGGAAACAACCCAAATGCCCAAAAATAGATGACTGGATCAAGAAGATGTGGTGCATATACACCATGGAATATTACTCAGCATTCAAAAAAGATAAACACATGCAATTTGCAGCAACATGGGTGGAGCTGGAAGGGATCATGCTCAGCGAAATAAGCCAGAAAGAAAAAGAAAAATACTGAATGGTCTCACTCATAGCAGGAATCTAGAAAACTAAATAAGGGACCAGGAAAAAGAATAACTATAAGAAAGAAAAAATCAAAATCAACAAACAACTATGAACCAGAGACACACTATGGGGGAGGGGCAGGGAAAGGAGGGGCTGGGGTCAAAATAAGGGGGTTGCAATTGTATAGGGAACATAAAAATTAAAAAAAAAAATTGAGGACAAAAAGGGTGATTAGATACGCAAATTGTAGTAAATCTCTCCAATGCAATACTACTCAGTAATAATTTTAAAAATACATGTTGATATAAAAAAGTCTATTAAAATTATTGAGGCACAGCAGTATATTTCAGTCATCTGCCTATTCTGCTCCCCATTTTGTCTTTGGTGAATCCTCTCACCCTCCCACGCCTTGACCTGTACGCCAGCTCTTGTATAAAAATAAATAAATCTTTAAAAAAATAATAAAATAAAATAAAATAAAATTTCATAGGTGACTCCATGCCTTTGTATTGTGTAAAGCACCTCTCAAGTCTAATTTTTATTTACTGAACACAATAGATGGTTGTAAGCTGACAAAGCAAATATGATTATAGAGTCTATATATTTCTCACATTCACTAGATTCAATCTTTAGCCTTAACCAATTACTTCTTTTGAGTTTTCCTTCAGAAAGTTTGAAAAATATCATTCTTAATGGAATACTTACTTCTCTTGCTGCTTTTTCCTCTTCATACTTATATGTTCTTATTTTTAAACGATTACATTCATCAATTAACTCAACATTTGTTTCTTTTTGCTTCTCATTTTCAGTTTGAAGCCTTCTTATAGTGTCCTGAAGCTGGCCTTGAATATTCACTAATATCTCCTCTTTATTGTCAGCTTTGTTGTAAGCCTCATTCAGTTGCTGTTGAAGCAACATGTTTTCCCTTTGTATTTGAGATAATCTCTCCTCTAAATGTAGCTTCTCCTCTCTTGTCCCTTGGAAATGACATTCTAGGTCTCTCTCGGACTTGTGACTTTGACCACGATCTTGTACAGCAGCATCCTGTCTACGACGGCAGGATTCAACTTCTGATTTCAGTGTTTCTGTTTTTAGTTTTTCATTTTCCAATTGAGTGCTTAGCAAGTTATTTTCACACTTTAGAACAAGAAGTTGTTCACAATGTTGAGATACCGTTTTTGTAAGTCTTTCCTCACTCAGTTGTATTGTTTCTCGCAGAAAATCATTCATTTCTTCTAAAATTTCAATGGTCTTTTCTTTTTCCTGGTTTTTATTTTTCATTGTATTTATTTCCAGTTTTAGCATACTGATTTCATCCTGCAAAGTGTGGCTTTTATGTACTGGATCTTTCTCTCTTTCATTACTCTCAGAAGCCTAAGTAAAATATAGATTTTGTTAGCAGTCAACAAAATTACAATTTCTCTGAAATTAAAAGCAAATGATATGCTTATAAATGTAAAGATGGCAATAAAGGCTATCCAACTAAAAAAAAATCAGTTGGACATCAAAATTTACATAAGTATAACTGCCCCAAAGTTCAGGAATTTAACTGAAGACTGAGTCCATGACGATAAAAAAAGGAAACATGAGAAAACTAAGAATCTCAGAATTGGAAAGAGACTAGCTATGAATTACAACAAATGCAGAAGGCATAAAAGATTAGTGTATATCTTCAGACTGATTCAATTTCCTAAAAGTTTTCTTCTTCCCTGAGATTCCAATTACATTGTACTTTTTCAGCATTTTTAAGGTCAGTTATAAGGATTCAATCTATTGTTAACTGGTAAACCCAGGCATGGTAGTATGCCTGAATTTCTAAGCTACACATATGAATGGACTCATTTAGATGTCAATTCGGGAAGGGAGAAGTTAAAAATACAAGCAAACTACAGGATTTCCCCAGGTCCTCTGACTCTACTAGCTAGTGTACCAAACCACATCTGCTTCCTTGGAGTAAATATATTGATACAAAAGAAGTCTTCCGTTTGAAAGCACTAAAGGTAAATAAGGTGAAATTTATATGCTCTCTTTCAAAATCATGAGATTATTCCCTGGTGCTGTTAGTTTTATTTCTTCTTCAAAATGTTTAAAATGTGAAATAGAAAACCACTGCAGAATTTGTGGTAATAAAATAATTATTGATAAATTGTCACTAAGTATATATTATGGCATATCATTTCTAAAACTCCTTATATGGACATAGTTGCTATTTAAGAGGAAAAAAAAAAGTTACTTTTCTCGAAAATAGGAAAGTTACATCCAAAGTATTATCTTTGACAATACTTCTGACGAACATAGATGCAAAAATTCCCAACAAAAATCTTAGCAAACTGGATTAAAAGGACTGAAAACAAGAGCCCCATGGCACCTAAAGGCCTTAAGGCATGGTGATTTGGGGGCTCTCTGGCTTGGCATGCAGCCACATGGGGGCAGCCCTTCCCCCACTCCATACCTCATCCATGTTCTCTCAACCCCCAGCCTGGCAGGCTCCAACTGCAGTGGCGGTGGTGGGTTCCTTGCTCTACCAGCTAGTCCTGGGGCTCTGGCAGTGAGACTTGTCCAGGCCCAGAGTGAGCTGGGGGAAAGAGTCCTACAGGCTGTGCACATGGCCATCATGGCAGGCTCTGAGCAGTGGTGCTATAGGAGTCCTTGCTGCACCAGCCAGATAGGACACTGGCAAGCAGCTAAGAAAAGGGCCTCACACAGTGGGGCCGAAGCTCAAAGAGCCTCACAACGTGGGGCTGAAGAAAAAGGGCCTCATCACGGGGCCAAAGACTTTTGAAGAGCCTCACACCATGGGGCTGAAGAGTCCTTGTGCCTCACACCGTGGGGCTGAAGATTAAACATCCCTCTGTTTTTTGTTCTTGGTCATAAGAAGAAAGAACTTCTCAGTAAATACATTGGGCAATAAATTATACATATAAAAATATTGTAAATACATGGCATGGAGAATTACCTACTTAAAAATTAAACACTCAATAATTTGGCCCACTTGACAATGGGAAATTATTATTGTGCAAGGGCATGCCTGATAAGTAACCCAGAGCTGGCCGCAATTTTCCTTATATGGAAGTTCCATAAAGAAGCCTCCTAATGATTCATAAAGTTGATTACGCTAGGAGTTTCTAGGTAGAAAAAAGTTATAATAACTGATAACTGGGAAGCAACTGGTCTCTAGCTGCAGGCCATATAGATAGAGGAGTCTCCTGATACTGTAGCCTTGGCGGATAGGGAGGTGCCAAGGACTATTAGCTGTCTTAGGTAGTTGTTTAGGCTGAAATAATGAGTGTAAGTTTTAATTATCTATTAACTTTAAAGGTCACCTCTTTTCTCAAAACACGTGGGCACCAAAGGTCCATGGGAAAGGAATGTACTGATTGTTTCTGTTTTGTGTCTATGCATACAATGATGTAATCCCACCGCTTGCCTTAATGTATAAAGATCTGCTGAGACCCTCAGCAGAGATAATTGCACCAGAGAGAGTGTCTGTGTCTGCCTCACTCCCTTTCCCCTCAGCCCTCAAGTTTCGCCAACACTGTCGCATCCTTTCAGGGACACCTGACCTGACATTTTGCTGGAGCTGGTCTTCGGCACAGTGGCCTGCTCTCCAACAGCTCAGACTCATCAAAAAGCTCTTCTGCAGAGCCATATGCACGACCACACCTAGCCCCACTGAAGCATGCCAGCTCTTCAAGACTCCAGCCCCACTAAAGCTGGTTCTGAGGCCCACCATCAATGAGCTTGCTTGTCAGGTCTGGACAAGCAGTCACAGTTGCACTTTTTGAATACGACACTGGGATTGAAGTGGACCAATCATGTTTAAGCTCTCAATGGACCAATCTGACTGGTTCCATTCCAGGATTTTTTGAGCCCATTGAGGATTCTAAATTAGCCAATAAGGTGGTGTTTGAAAGGTGGGAACCCTGATGAGGATAAAAGCCCGCACAACAACTGACTTGATGCATTGAGCAGATCCTTTCATCAGACCCTTCACAGACAAATTTAACGGGACAGCAAGATTTCCACAGATCTTCACAGAGAACCCCACAGCTCTCTGTAGAATTTTGTAGGGACCACTGACACTTCCATAGTCTTCAACACTTCCAAGACCGCTGCAGACTGTGAGACCACCACAGATCTTTGCTTCAATCTGCAGTCTTGTAACTGGATCCTTGCAGCCTCCAGAGGTTACGAAGCAAGGTGACTGTGTTGGGGTAAATTGTGCTGGCCTCAGCCCACTGCCTGTGGATGGTCCCCGCCCCAGACCCCAGTTAGGCTAGCTCTGGCCACACCTCTCTGGAACCAAAAAGCCCTGACCTGAGTGCAGATCAGATTGGACATTTCCCCCTTTAATATCAGGCTCTAGGAGTCAAAACTGAACCAATCAGGTGTGGGCAAAATGGACCAATCAGGAGGGAGTTAAGAGAACCAATGAAGTTCCAGTCTACTTCATTAATTATTCAGATTGAAAAATGGAAAATGAGCTATTAGTGCTAAATGGTCCAATCAGATGCTTAGGATTGAAAATGGCCTGTTCAGGCTTATTCAGTGGGGGCCCCTGAAGGGGATACAAGGCAGAACAAGAGCCAGCCTGAGGCAGATGCAGCAGTGGTTTCTGTGGAGGTCTATTGACGTGTGGAAGTCTAAAGTCTACAAGGTTTACATTCTACAGAGGTCTGGTGAGTCCCATGGAGGTGGACTGCTTGATGCATCTCTCTTCAGAGTCCAGAAGCAGAATCTTTCTTCTTTGAAAATGGTTTGATGAAAGCTTTCTCTTCAAACAGCAATATGACTCCTTCTTTCTTCTGAAGCTTGGAGCAGAATGCTTCTTCAGAGGTGGTTCAATGAATCCTTCACTCTTCAGAGGATGGCTGCACACTGACTCAAGCTGGCTTTTGCTCTGCCTGGTATCTCCTTCAAGGCACCCCCTTCTACAAGCCTGACTGGACCATTGTAAATCCTAAGCATCTGATTGGAATGTTTGAAACCTGAACAATAGACATCAAATTAACATGATACTATAACTAGTTTGGATTATAGCGTTAGAAATATTAAAAGTTTGCCAGGGAGGAACTTGCCTTCATTAAATCACTTCTTAGAGCTCTCAGTTCCACAGCTACTGCTGACAGTGTGGACTCCAGCTGCTGCTTCACTTGATCGCCACTCCTATAGTGCTCTTCTTCTCTTTGCAGTCGATCCCTAAGTGTTCCAATAAAAAGTCAGTATATGAAAGGTACATATGACTCTAGGAAGTATTGCAGAGAGAAAAATTTTGAAATGATACTGTACAGTTAGGGTTAAAGTTAACCTTTTTGCTCCACATAGTTATTGGTACTGTCTTTGCATAGTTTAGTTACAAATTTAAAAGGGAAGTTTTTTTTTTTTTAAACAAGCTTACAAATACACTAGGAAAAAAAGTTCAACTTCACAAAATATTACAGTTACTACTAAAAATGATTCACAGTGTAGACAGCATCTGCAGATTTCTTTCACACAACATCCATCTGTAGATCACTATAATCCAAGACTAGGTGAGGGAGTCTGTTAGCTGTTGCCCTACTCTTTTTATGTTTCTACTTTTGCAACACTTTCCACTGAGCTTGTTGGTTACTAGGTATTTTAGAAATCATTTTTATACTCCTTTTGGAAAAAGACAACCCATATTCACTAAGTATAATAAAAAGTAATATGTGCTTTTAGCACAGACCTAGAAATAATTTGATATAGTAGGAGAGAATTGTTGAATACATTATTCAGTAATCACTTTCCACTTTTCTTTTTATTCCATGCATAGTTTAAGAATAAGACTACATAATTTTTTGTTTGCAGTAATTTTATTATTTATTAAACTTTTTATTTTTTAACATGATTATTTATCTTTATACAATATTTGATTTCCCTGCTCATATGTAGTCCCCATAAATCTCCCACGACCACATCACCCATGGACTATACATTTTTAAAAACATCTTCTGTCTTCAGAAAAGTGGTCATTTCATGTGTGTTGTTGGAAATGGAAATTCATATAAACTCTCGTGAGAACAATTTAGAAATATAGATCAGAGACATTTCAGCATTGCTGCACTTCAGCCAAATACTATACTGAAGATTTTTTTTCTTCAGTATACAGATTAATACAAAAGGAAATCCTTGCAGCAATAGTTATAACACAGTATTCCATATGGTATACTTCTATATGGTCATTAAAAGCATGATTTGGAAGACTACACAGTAAATTATTAGCAAAAGTATTCACTATCAAAAACTTGCTATACTATTTCCAAGAATTTCATATTCCACAGCACTTAATAAAGGTTTCTACTCTGAAAAATCCTAGAAGACAAGTTGGCAATTACAAACTTCTCTCTTGGGCCTCCCCTGGTGGTGCCGGCAGTTGAGCGCTGCACTATGAAGCTGTTCGCAGCCTCTGCAGCACTGGTTTGATCCCGACCAGTGAGGGTCCCACATGGCACAGCAGATATGTCCTGTCTCACCCGCTGCTCCCCTCAGCAGTGTATTTCGTTAGTTTGCCTGTCCTGTTCCCTGCTCTGTCTCTGGTGAATTCTCTCACCCTCCCATGCATTTGGCCTGTACCCCAGTTCTTGTATAAATAAATAAATAAATCTGAAAAAAAACCTTTTAAAAAATTAAAAAAAACTTCTCTTATGTATTTGTAGTATTAAACGAAATAGTTGAAATATGTCTTTAAAACCAAAATGCTCAATACCTCAAATTGCAGCAGCAGTATTCTTGTTTCAAATTTTGCTGCTTAAGCTGTGAGCTTATGTCTTTTGTTGCTAATAGCTCCATTTTTAGTGCACAATTCTCATCTTTCATTTTTCTATATTTTTTCTTAAGTAGTTCACAGTGATTATCTTTAATTTCACATAATCTTTTATGTGGACAAATTAAATCCTGGCATTTTGAAAAGTTAGTAAAATCTGAATCAGGGAGAAAACACAAAGAGAAAAACAAAATATATAAGTACTCTTTTTTTGCATATAAATGGCGGTACATTTTCTCAGTCACTCATCCATACCTTAAACAGATACATACATATTGAGTACCTACAAAGTGGAAAAAAATATATTAAACTCTGCAGACAGAACAGATGGGAACACTGGCTCTTATTTAGCATAAGGGACAGATAAAGTTTAGCGTAAAGTCTAAATTCATACAGATACTACAAGAAAACAAAATTCTATGCTCACATGACAGCACTTGATCTAGATTAGGCCCAGGGAAGAGGTCCCTGAGGAACAGACTGTTGCCCTGAGGAATGAAGGAGAAGCAGAAAGCAAAGGAGAAAGAAAGCCACTCTAGGTAGGGGACAACATGTGCTGAAGTTTTATTACAATCTGCTTCTAGCCAAGAGAAAGTAACAGGTACTAATTTACCCTCCTACCTGAAACAAGCAAAAACAAAACAGAAAAAAAAATACAATAAAAAATAATGATTTTCAAGACAAAGAACTTCAGGTAATGAAAGACAATGCCCCAGCAGATCACTAGCTTAAGATAATTTCCAGATCATGACACAGGGAGAAGGTACTAAGGTGACATCTACCAGATACTCTTAGGTGAGATGATGAAATTGAGGGTCTGGTGAAACCAAGAAGATAGAGATCACAGGTCAGATCACTGAAGAGAAAAGGGAAGATCAAGAAAGAGCTCTGAAGATCTACAGAGGGGCCTTCTGGAGTATTCAACAGAGTAATAAGCAGTGAATTCATATGAAGAAGCCACCTGAGACCAAGGAGAAAAAATATCTGAAAAGAATAAACTGCACCAGGAATAGTGGTGCTTCCTTTAGCTAGTTTGGAAAAATTCATAATTAACAGGGCAATGAATAGAGCAGTGAGAAAGGTCTTGCCTTGGTATTGGGAAATAATTAGCCTGAGGGCATTACTCTGGATTCACCCAACAGATGAAAAGAGCAAGACCATGAAGGATCAAACTGTTTATAAGTAACTTAACTAAAAAAAAGAAAAAGAAGAAGAGTAAAGTCATGGAAGCTATTTTTTTCCCAAATAAGTAGCAGATTATATGAAAAATATAATGAGATTATATGAAAAATATAATCTCAGAGATGACAAGTATTCTGGTTGGGAATAAACATATATTATAATCAAACACACACACAAAAGACTAGTAAGGATGACCTTGGTGAACTGTGAGAAAAATTTTAAATGGCCATGATACAATTCTCCAAAGAGTTAGGGGAACGAAAAAAAAAAGTATTTTGAAAAAATGACCACAAACTTTCTAAACTTCATGAGAACTGTAGTTCCACAGGCCGAGGTAGTATCTGTGTAGGACAGGAGAAACAAAAGTAAACTGCTGTAATTTTGTCATACTGCATACGATATGGTATAGTAGTACTTGAATGTGGACAGTGATAAGTTAGTCTTACACTATAAACACTACAACCACCACTAAAAGAGTGAAACAAAAGAGTTATAGCTAATTATCTAATATAAGGAAATAAACTAAGTCATACAAATCACTTGATATTCTAGAAGGAAACAAAAGAAGGGGAACAAAGAGCTGGTGAGGCAAACAGAAATCAATCAGCATGATAACAGATTAAACCTAACTGTATATATATATATATATATATATATATATTGAAATTACATTAAAAGAAAATCATATGAAAACTTCAATGTAAAGGCATATGATCAAACTGAATCAAATAGCAAGTCCAACTAAATGCCACCAACAAGAAATGCAAGTTGAAAATAAAGGCACACATTTGTTAAAAGCATGGAAAAAGATATATACACTAATACCTGACAAAAAAGGAAGCTGAGCTGGTGTGGCTATGCTAATACCAGACAAAGTAGTTGTCAGAGCACAGACTATAATCAGCAATAAACAAGACAATTTCACAATAGAAGGGTCAATCTATAGGAAGGATAATAATCCTCTACGTTTATGAACTTAACACTAGCTATAGAATGCATGAAGCAAGTATCCATTCATGATAGTGACTCTAACCAAAATGGGGATGGAAGGAATCTACCTTAATATAATAAAGGCTATATACCACAAACTAACAACCAACATTATATTCAATGGTGAAAAACTGATAACTTTCCCCTTACGATTGGGAACAAAGCAAGATGCCCATTGTTACCCCTTCTTTTTAACTTAGTACTAGAGGTTTTGGTCAGAACTATCAGACAAAATCAAGAAACAAAGGGAATACAAGTCGGAAAGAAGTGAAACTATCACTACTTACAGATAATATATTATATTTAGAAAAATCCCAAAGACTCTATCAAAAAACAATAAATGAATATAGAAACAAAAAATGAATATAGCAAAGTGGCAGGTTCAAAATCAATATATAAAAATGATAGTAATTTAATAAGCAGACATTATCAAAATGGCCATCCTACCAAAAGCAATTTACAGATTTAATGCTATTCCAATAAAAATTTCAATGACATTCTTCAAAGAAATACAACAAATATTGATGAAATTCATATGGAGCCACCAAAAATCCAGAATAGCCAAATCTCTCCAGGAAAAAAAAAAAAAAGAAGGGAATGGAGGTATCACATTCCCAGACTTCAAGCTATACTACAAAGCCATAATAATCAAAACTGCATGGTATTAGAACAAGAACAGACACACGGACCAATGGAACGAAATAGAAAATTCAAAAATAAACCCAGATTTATGGGCAACTAATCTCTGACAAGGGAGCAAAGAATATGCAATGGAGCAAGGAAAGTTTGTTCAATAAATAGTGCTGGGAATACTGGGTCACCACATGCAAAAGAATGAAGCTTGACTGGTGCCTCACACCATGCACAAAAGCCAACTCAAAATGGATCAAAGAACTAGACATAAGACCTGAAACTATAAAATAAATAGAAGGAAATATAGGTAAAACACTACACGACATACACCTCAGTAATAACTTGAAAGACACATCACCCAAAGCAGTGATAGTGAAGGAACAGATAAACAGCTATGGCTACATCAAATTAAAGAGCTTCTGTACCACAAAAGAGACAGTAACCAAAACAAAGAGACACCCCACCAACTGGGAGAAAATTTTTGCACACAACACGAATGATAAAGGACTGATCACAAAAATCTACAAAGAGCTGCCGAGACACAACAAAGACAAAGTAAGCAACCCAGTCAAAACATGGGCAGAAGAGCTAAAAACAAATTGCTCCAAAGAGGAAATGCAAATGGCCAACAGGCATATGAAAAATTGTTCAACATCACTTGTAATCAGGGAAACGCAAATCAAAACTACAATGAGATACCATCTTACACCAGTGAGAATGGCACATATTAAAAAAAGTAGCAACAACACATGTTGGGGAGGATGTGGAGAAAAAGGAACCCTCCACTGCTGGTGGGAATGAAAACTGTTCCAACCACTATGGAGAGCTGTGTGGATATTCCTCAATCTGCTAAAGATGGAGTTTCCATATGATCCAGCAATTCCACTCCTAAGGTATTTACCCAAAGGACACAGAAACATTAATTCAAAAGGGCGCCTGCACCCCTAGGTTTATAGCAGTACTATTTACAATAGGTAAGCTATGGAAACAATCATAATGCCCCAAAATAATTGACTGGATCAAGAAGCTGTGGTACATATACACAATGGAATATTATTAAGCAATCAAAAAAGATAAATACATGCAATTTGCAGCAACATGGATGGAAATGGAAGGGATCATGCTCAGTGAAATAAGCCAGAAAGAAAAGAAAAATACCCAATGGTCTCACTCATAGCAGGAATTAAGAAAACCTAAATAAGGGATCAGGAAAAAGACTAATTATAATAAAGTAAAAATCAAAATCAACAAGCAACTATAGGGCCTCCCCTGGTGGTGCAGGCAGTTGAGTGCCGCACTGTGAAGCTGTCTACAGCCTCTGGAGTGCCAATTCAATCCCCATATCCAACGAGGGTCCCACATGGTGCGGCAGAGCTCTCCTGTCTTGCCAGCTGCTCCCCTCAGCAGTGTATCTCATCAGTCTGCCTATTCTGTTCCTAGCTCTGTCTCTGGTGAATCCTCTCACCCTCCCATGCATCTAGCCTATACCCCGGTTATTTATGTATAAATAAATAAATAAATAAATAATCATTAAAAAAAGAAAAAAACAAGCATCTATAAACCAGACACCCAATACAGGGAGGGGGAGAAAGGAGTAGGATCAAAACAACGGGGATGGGAATTGTCTGGGGACTATAACCAAGATGAGAATGCATACATTGTACAACAATGAAAAATGATGTAAAAAATATACAAAACTAAAAAAACAAAAATAAAAATAAATAAATATAAAAAGAAAAAAATAAAATAAATGATTCATTTCTCTAATTTATCTTTCTCTTTTCTCTGACTACCGTTTTTTCCCTTCTTCCTTGCTTCCTTATTTTTCTTTGTTGTTCTTTCTCTAGTCTTTTTGAAGTTTCCTTTTATCATTTGTTACTATCACAAATAGCTATGTCTTGGACTTAAAGTCTGTTTGTTGTTGACTTATTAAAAATGTTATATTATTCAATAAACTATACATTATAAAAAAAAGGCAATTTAAGAAAATTAAAAGGCAATTCACAGACTGGAAGAAAATTCTTGTAAAAACAAAGCTGATCAAGAAACTATTTTCAAAATGTCAGAACTCTCAAAACTCAACTAATAAGAAAACAACATAATTTTTAAATGATGAAAGATTTAGACACAGTTCAAAGAAGATATACAGATGGCAAATAAGCAAACAGAAAGATAGTCAATAGTATTGGTTATTTGGGAAATGCATACTAAAACCATAATAAAATACACATTTGAACACCTATCAGAATGGTAACATTAAAAAAACTGGCATCAGGGCCTCCCCAGTGCTTGAGCACCCTGCTGTCCACAGCCTCTGCAGTGCGGGTTCAGTTCCTGGCCAGTTGGGGAGAAACCCACATGGCGAGGCAGACCTCTCTTGCCTCACCCGCTGCTCCCCTCAGCAGTGTCTTCGGTCAGTCTGCCTGTTCTGCTCCCTGCTCTGTCTCTGGTGAATTCTCTCACCCTCCCGTGCCTCTGACTGTACCCCAGTTCTTGCATAAATAAATAAATCTTTAAAAAAAAAAAACTGACAACACTGAGCGTTGATGAAGATATGGAAGAACTAGAAATCTCATAAGCTTTGGGTGGGAATGGAAAATGGTACAAGCCCTTTAGAAAACAATTTGGTAGTTTCTTAAGAAGGGAATATAAAGGGACTTGAGGAGACTTTGAGGGGTGATAGATGAGTTAACTATCTGGATTGTGAGGATGGTTTCATCTTTGTATACATATGTCAAAACTATCAAATTATACAATTTCTATAGGTGTGGTTTACCTAACAAAAGCTGTTGAAAACAAAAAGTCTTATTGTAGGAAAGACTACGCAGTCACTGAGACACAGATGAGAAAAGGACATGGAATAACACAAAATGCAACTAGTGGATGGTGGCCTTTAACCTAGAGCATTGAGAGATACTAGCTGGATTTTAAGGAAAGGGTAACATTATGAGATCTGAAGTTAAAACAATATATATGGCAATTATGTGTGCAGTACAGAAGAAGGTTTCCAGAGGTAAAATGTCAGGGGAAACATATCTGAGGATATTTCAGTATTCTAGGAGGGAAATAATGGAAATCTGACTTCGAGGGAAGGCCTAGGAGAGAGGAGAGTCAACAAAAACTATCATGGGGATTCTCACAGCTCTTTGGCTGGAAGTAATCAATAGCTCTCATTTCATCTCAATATAAAACATATTTCTGAGGTGAATAACATGAGAACAGATCTGTGCTCTATAGTGAAGTACTAGACAAAGTGTGCATGTGACACTACAGTATATGTGTTAAGCCTTTATAAGTAAACAATGCTCCTACCTTTACAATTCATGCAAAGTTGTTCCATTAACAACGTACAATTCTCATGTTCTGAGTAAAACGAATCACAACCTGTTGAGGCTGTTTCAGATGTCTGAGTTATGTCATCAGAGTCATCTGTAGGATTGATTTCCTGTTTGACATACAAATAAAAATATTTCAAAATGCTCAGTAACTATCAATAAATATGCTAAGTGTACAGAGGTGATAAATATTCACCTTTTTATAATAGCAAAAACACAGGTACTCCTTAAAGGAACTGACTTTCATGAAAAGGATACCTTTATATATGATTATTATTTATAAATTATTTTTAAAGTAAACATTTTTATAATGATTTAAGACTTTCAAGTTTTTCCTTATATCTTTTAAAATGTATTTTTACCACAAAATAATTTTTGTCCTTATTTATTCTTTACTATACCTTCTTCTCATTAGATGTTTTCTTTACAGGCCTATAAAAAGAAAAGATTTATTTTCAGGCAAATAGTAAATAGCCAACTATAAAGAATATCAAAACCTATTGTTATTATATAAAATCTTCTAACCCATACGTTCCTAAAAAGGGATTAAACACCAAGTAAAAAGAGTAATAACATTAAAGACCAAAAATGTACTGTAATATTAACAAATTATTAAATTACTTCAAATTAACAATCAAAAGACAAAAAGTAGAATCAATGTTATTTACATGATTTCATAGGAAACATATTCTCAGGTTTTTTGTGGTGGTCATTTTCAATAAAAAACAAGCTTTCACTGGTACTAAAACCTAACTGAGAAGTATTGTTCAAGTCCTTATATGAAAAGAAACCTTTTTAAATCATCATGGTGGTGGTATGTATGGTAACATACATCTGAAGAGATATGAACCTATCACCTAAAATATAGACAGGGTTGTAAATGAGATGCTACAATAAAAAGAAAAAAAAAATCGCTCATCCTCATCTATCGCATTTCAGGAGTATCTTTCAGATAAAGTTCATTTTCTCTTGCCTCAGTAAGTATGCCAGATTATGCTGTTTTATTTTCAGTAAAACGTAATCACTGCTAATATTCCTTTGTCAAGACAGGAAGAATTTATAGATTTTACCTTCCAACATCCTGATTGTTTTCATGTCTCCTGCTGTCACCTTGCTCCGGAAATACTACACCAGCCGTCTCATGTGTTACTGTCAGAGGTTCTGTTGGCATATTAATTACATAGGTGCTTTTCTTTCCTTTTTTTCTAGTAAAGCCAGGAACTCTAGTTAAAAATCCATAAGAAACTGTTTTAGAGGAAATCTATTGTAAACACTAAAAAAAAAAAAAAAGGAAAAATTCCAAAACTTATCTAACCTACTTCATTTATTGACTCGGAAAGCCAGGATGAAGTAACAACCATAGGCAAGGAAACATACTCCTTGCATCACTAACAAAAGACCCTGACCAAGGAACCAGCTAACTAACAAAACAAACCCTAGAAATTTGACTACAGAATTGAGGCTAAAAGAGGGGAAGGAGAGGAGAAGGTGACAAAGTAACAGGGATGAGAATCCAGCGGTCTAGGATAAAGCACTCTGGGTGCTTTGGCGGTGGGGATCGTGTGGTAACATCCACCTGATGAGGTGGGAACCTGTCCCCTCAAACATACACAGGCTTGTCAACCAATGTTCCTTCGATGAAGTCACCCAAAACTGACTGGTCCTCATTGTTACCTCTCAGCAGTATTTGTCTGACAAGTGTAAGATTTTTCTTGTGTTAGCCTATAAGCTACATCATACAGTCTGAGTTCCAGAAGAGTAATCACTGCTAATATTCCTTTACCTATACAGGAAGAAATTATAGACATTGCTGCCATTATTCTGTCTTGATTCATGTCTTCTGCTGTCACCAGTCACTGAATGCAAAACACCAGTCTTCCTGTTTACTTTAGGCACAGATACTGGTGAATTACATGTTTCATTTTTGCTCTTCTTTACTCCATTTTTATGCAAGCCAGGAATATTACTTTTGAAAAAGAAACAAAATAAAGCTAATTTAAAAAAAATACTTATGATGATTTAAAAAACAACTTTTGTAAAATAAAAATAAAATGGGAAGGGTTGAAGAGAAACAGGAAAAACAAAAACGGAAGAACAATCAGGATACAAAATGTAAAATACTGGAACAGAAGTCACCACAGTAATTTTGAAAACTACTAAATGCTAAATTTAAAACCTAGAGTTCACTGACTCAAAGTTATGACACACAGATGTGGAAATACTAATTAGCCAAATACGATGCTTATCAATTTCTTTTTAAATATAATAACATGTAAATGGAAAAATACTATTAGACACATACAATATGAATGAGGAAATCCAGGAAATATGCTGGGGCTGGGGTGAAAATGCCTATATGTTGGTTTGACTTCTGGTTCATGATCAAATAAGTCATAATTCATCATGCCCCCTTCCAAGAACAATTTGGTGTCACCCATGGACAAAACAAAATGCCTTTCTGAGAGTTGAGTGCTCCAGTCCTATACACAAGAGATCTCAGAGGGATGGCTGCTTCGTTGTAGTGTGTACAGGCTCACAGACCAGTCTCAGCAGTGGACCCTGCAGGGCCCAAGACTTGGCTCCACACACTCTTAAGCTGCATCCAGGAACAGCTGGAAAACCCTGCCTTCAGCAATCTCTCCAGATGGGGCAGCATTCATTGAACTGCAGACCTTAATTTCCATTCTCCCCAAAGCCTATTTAGAGGAACAGGTGGTTGTGTTCAAAAACACCATGTCACACAGCATACATTTCTCCTACCATGGGGAACAATACAGACAAACATCGTAAGTTAATTTTACATACTGACAGTTCATAATTCTGTGGCAAGAATGTTTTTAAACTCCTATAATTTACTAGTTGCTTCTTTAAGTAATAGCATATAAATAGTTTTTCTACTCATCAGATCCATTTGACCTTATATAAAATACCATATACAAGTAAAAGGTTTAAAAGTGAGGAAATATATGACTGAGCTTAAACCACACAATGCAGAACATGCATAGAGCAAATACTGCATATTGCAGAGAGCCAAAGGAATCCCAAAGAGCATATAATTGACAAGTAGACTTTCACCAGGGACCCACACAAAACTGTTTAGTCTAAGTGAGAATTAGTATAAAATATAAAATAAAACACACAGATTAAACTCCATTCACTCAGTGAGCCTTCAGGGGATAATATTCCAGCCCAGTTTGGGCACTGAAATAATAGAAGAGATCAGACCAAAATCCTACCCTTGAGAATGAAGTAAACAGATGATGAACTCGATGTCAAAACATATATCCTGCTAGAGTATACTATAGCAGAGATAAGGAAATTTGGAGGTTTGTAAGCAGGGAAGGCATAAGAATAAGACTCAAAATGGCCAACCCCTCAGATATTGCTGAGAAAGTAGCTTGTGAAGGAATGAAAGGAGCAATCATAAGGATATCAGAAGATAAATCATTCCAGTTAGAATCAATAGCAAGTACAGGGGTATGTCTTCAGGGTGACAGAATGTTGAAAAGGTCAACGTGGTTGGAGCACAACGGAAGGGACAGAATATGGAAATTCTTTTTTTCTAAGATTTATTTATTTATGCATACAATAACTGAGGTGCAAGCCAGAGGTGTCAGGAGGTGGTGAGAGGATTCACCAGAGATAGAGTGGGGAACAGAACAGGTAGACTGACTGAAATACACTGCTGAGGGGAGCAGCGGGTTGGACAGGAGAGGTGGCTGTGCCATATGGGTCACCTCCCTGACCAGCCAGGGATCAAAATCATGCTGCAGAGGCTGTAGATAGCTTTACAGTATTGTGCTCAACCCCTTGTGCCACCAGGGAGGCCCCCTAGAATACGGAAATTCAAGTGACAGTGAGAGACAGAGACTTCAGGGAGACAAAAACTGATCTAAGGGGAACAGAAAGTGTAGGGGTTGCTTTGTATTTGAAGAACATTGGCATGTACTGCGACTGAAGAGGGAGTCAAAACAGAGGAACAGCATAATCTTTGCTATGTCAAAATAGGCCACTGATTTTAAAGAGTAAAAAAGACAGATACTAAGAAACCAAATAAAAGTTTTGGACACTAGTAAAGAGAGCAGATGATTTGGGATTCAACATGTAACAGGATATTGGCTTCGGGATATATTTGGCAGGGAAACCTGACAAGATTGACCATCAGATTCAATGTCAGAAGCAAAAGAAAGAGAAAGATAACAACCGAAGTGACACCCAACACATTGACAGAACAAGAGATGCCACTAAGGAACTAATACTCTGCAAGAGTGAAGACATGAACAGAAGAACTGGTGTGAGAAACAATATCAGTAATTCAATTGGAGAAAAGGGAAACTTGCATAACAACAACCATCCATCAAAAAGAATGATATCCAGCAAGGGATTTGATTTCAGTAATCAAGAAAAAAAGATCTGAAGTGGAAATATCATTTTGGAATCATTAATAAATACAAGGAAATAAAAGTCATGTGACAGAGGATCAAGGACTGAATCCTGGGATTTTTACTTTACTCAAAAGTAGGGTGGAGTTGAAGAGCTAGGAAACACAGACTGAGGTAGAAGAAAAGGAAATACATCAGGGACACAGGTAAGTGAGTTCTCCCTCTGAAAATGCCAGACCTGTAATCAAATGAAAGCAATGCTGCAGTAAAGAGATTTCCATTAAGGAAAATTTAGCCTATCAGTCTAAAACAGTATGTGTGGATACAGTGATGTGAAAAATTGGCAGTAATCTTTAAAAAGCAACTTTGGAGGAGGGGTGGGTAAGAAGTTTACTGGAGCGAATTCAAAGTGAAAATGAGGAGGATGGATGGTGCTCTAGGACTTAGCTAAGTAGTATGACAGTGGAGGATCCTGTTCTCTTCTTGTTTTACTGTAGATTCCAACACCCAATATTGATTATTCAGGACGTTTTATTACTAAAATTTTTCTTAATTTTCAATGTGGTAATAATTGGTAAACATGGCAGACCAATTCAAAATATTTATAAAATTAAGAAAGCAAGGTTTCTGAAATGTTTCCATTCATGGAAATGAATCTATTCATTGAATCTTTCATACAAAACAAAGTATTTAATGTAAAAAAGCTCCTCCACAATATAACTAAACAAAGAAACAAGCAAAATTAAACCAAAACAGGCCCTGGAAATATGGCTGCAGAACTGATGCTACTATACGGTGACAGGAGACAGAGAAAACAGAACAGAGAGGGAGCCCAGATCTACACTAAAGCACTATGAGTGCTGTGATGGTGGGTGTCTTGTGGTAAAGTACATCTTGCGATGTGTGAACCTATCCCACCACACATACAGAGGCTTGAAAAACAATGCTCCCTCAGTGAAATAAGAAAATGTCACTGGACCTCCTCTTTCCACTTTTAGCAGTATTTGTCTGAAAAGGCTGAGCCTTCTCGTACTTTGCCTAGCACACTATACCATGCTGCTTAATTTCCAAACAAATAATCACTGCTAATATTCCTTTAAAATTAGAGGGAGAATTATGGATTTTACCTTCTGGCATTCTCATCTGAGTCATATCTCCTGGCATCTACATTCACTGGAAGTTCAGCACCAGCCTGCTCGCTGACTTGACCCACATAATCTGGTGAAGACCATGGATCAGTTTGGCTTTCCTTTACTACATTTTTCTGCAAGCTAGGATCCGTCCTTTAAAAAACAAACCATGTAAAAGCTAATGTTTATTAAGAAATCTTCTGATAAAGACTAATAAAACATCTTTTATAAATACCACAACTTAGTCATTAATTAATTTTTGAAATATTTATGAAGAAGTAAAAATGAAAAGCAAGGAAACAAACCCCATGCTGCAAAGTCAGATATGCAATCATGATACTATCTGATAGCTAAGAGCACATATATGGCATGCTGAAAGTGAGCACAACGGAGGCTTTGCAGAGGAGGTAAGAAGACACAGAGGGAAGAAAACCATTCCACATGGAGGTTACAACATGCATACAAATATAAGGCACATCACAACTATGTGTTCCCAAAAACTTGAAAGTGTAAGATCAAAACACTGAGAGATGAGTGACCCAGAAATTCTGATATATCTTGAAAGCTACACAAGTGTTTAAGTTCACTGCCAAATACTATTGACTCTAGGCAAAATGTACTAATAAGATGTGTCATGTGATACTGGCCATTTATAATGCAATAATGTGCAACTGATTGAAAAATTTTGGGTTGTTGGAAAAGTCATGACATATTTTTTCTGTGTTTTTCAAGCAAAAATGTATCATGACTTTTCCAAGAGTCCAACAGTATGAAACAGGTATAATGGAAAAATTCTAAGAAATATCTCATGGGTGAGAATAGATTAACTTTTAAAACAACCATCTGTTGGAAAGACATCAGGGTCCTGACCAAATAAGTTTTACTTCATCAGGTCCCCACCAAGAACCACAATTTGGCATCACTCATAGAAAAAAAAAATAGGCCTTTCTAATATCTGCGGGTTCGAGTACCAACACCAAGGGATCTAAGAGGAGACTTAGGTGCAGTGTATAAGGTGAGGAATTAAGACAAGAGGTCTAAAGAATAATGAAAATTTGGGAGGACATTAGCATATATAAAAAGTGGCAGTCATGAGACAAAAGATCAAAGCCAATTTTGGGATACTTCAATCCCTAAAATAGGAAGTGGGATTGAAGAAATTGGACAAATATATTGAGGTGGAAGAATGAGAAGTGCACAGCAGACACCTAGTAATGAGTTCTCCCCCTTAAAAAAGAGTCCTGGAGTTAAATGAAGATATGATGTTGGAGGAGAGAGATTTCCACTGAAGAAAATATAGCCCATCAGTGTAAAAAGTATGTGTGGATAAAATGAACACTTGGTGGTGACTGATCAAAGGCAGTTTGGAAGAGCGGTAAGTGGAGAAATTAAAAGTGCAAGTTCAAGAGTGAATATAAAAGAGGAACTAGGGGATGGACAAACAGTTCTGTATGACTCATAAGCTTTGTACTGTGACTGTGGAGGATCCCATTTTCTTCTTTGACTGTAGTTTGCAATACCCAATCATGATTATTTACTATTTTTGTATTGCAATGCTTTTTTTAGTCACATCCATTTACACTCAAAGGTCAACTAAATGGCAAACAATTCAAAGCATTCATATAATACCTGCAAATAAAAGCAAAGGTCTCTGGAATGTGTCTATTTATTGAATTGATTCTATTCATTGAATTCATGAATAGAAAACTGAGAAATTTATTGTAATAAGCTTTTCCACAAATAACCAAAATAGGAATTGGAAACACTACCAAAACATACACTGGAAATATAACTGGAGAATTAAATCTATTTGAAGGTAAGGTGATGAGACAGAAGAGAGAGAGGCCCAAAGTTTACAGTAAAGTACTATGGGTGCTTTGGTAGCGGGTATTTTATGGTAACACACATCTAATGAACTATGAAACTAGCACCGAAATCATACACAGGCTTGTAAGCCATTATCTCTTGCATGAAGTGACAAAAAGCACATTGGGTCCTGTTTTCTTTTCTTTTTTTTTTAAGATTTATTTATTTATTTATACAAGAGCTGGGGTACAGGTCAGAAGCATGGGAGTTTGAGAGAATTCACCAGAGCCAGAGCAGGGAGCAGAACAGGCAGACAGACTGAAGACACTGCTGAAGGGAGCTGCGGGTGAGACAGGAGAGGTCTGCAGTTCAAATATAACATTGGGGATCACTAGCACATACAAGAAAGTAACAGTCATGTTTTTGTTAGAAGACAGAAGATCAAGGACTGAATGTTAATGCTCCTCCTCAATTTGGATAAAAGGAGGATGCAGTTGAAGAGAAATAGGAAACACAGACTAAGATGGAAGAACAAGAAATGCTTGGGGGGAACCTGATACATGAGTTTAACCTCAGAAAATACAAGTCCCGAGAAGCAAATGAAGAAATTATTTTGAAGAAGAGATTTCCATTATGCAAAAGTGTTCACTCTTTTTGATGGATGGCTGTTGTTATGCAAGTTTCACTTTTCTCCAATTGAATTACTGATATTGTTTCTCACACCAGAGTGAACACAAGAAAAATTAGGGGATGGACAGTTCTGTAGGACTTAGGTTAGTGTCACAGACATGGAGGAGACCATTTTCTTCTTCGGCTGTATTTTGCAATACCCAATCAGAATTATTTAGTATTTTTGGTACTACTCTACTTTATATCAAACCACCTCTTTGTGACATTCAATGGACAACAAAATGGTGGAACAATAAAAATTTATAAAATCTTATAAGCAAAATATTCTGAATGTTTCTATTAATTGAACTTGTAGATCACTGTAAATAGAGCTCAACATATTTACAGCAACAGACCTCAGAAAGTCACTAAAAAAAGCAAATGACAAAAAAAAACCAAAAACAAATCTAGGACATAGGACTGAAAAATTGAGAGTGAGAGTGGGAAAGTTAGAGGGGTTGAGAACACAAAGGAGGGGCCTACGGTCTAGAGTAAAGCAGCGTGGGTGTGATGGTGGAGGGTGACCTGTGGTAGCATCCATCTGATGAGGTGTGAACTTATCCCCTAAATCATACGCAGGTTGTAAATGAATGTCCCCTCAACAAAGGGGCAAAACACTAAGTGATTCCCATAGTTCATAGTTTGGCAGTATTAGTCTGATCAGGGTGAGATTTCTCTTGCCTTGGACTGTCAACTGTATTATGCTGCTTGTTTCCCACACAGTAATCACTGCTAATATTCCTTTAAACTGAAAGGAAAGTTTATAGATTTTACCTTTTGGGAATCTCAACTTGGTCAGGACTCCTGCTATCCACATTCACTGGAAGGGCAGGACCACTCTTCTTGTTTATTTGGCCAACAGATTTTGATGTTGATAAATAATTATTTTGCTTTTTTGCTAACTTCTTCAGGAAACCAAGAACCCTCCTCTCAATGGCATTCTTCAAAGAAATAGAACAATTATTGATGAAATTCATATGGAATCACCAAAAACCCCGAATAGCCAAAGCTCTACTGAAAAAAAAAGAAGGAAATGGAGGCATCACACTCCCAGACTTCAAACTATACTACAAAGCCATAATCATCAAAACTGCATGGTATTGGAACAAGAACAGACATACAGACCAATGGAATCGAATAGAAAATCCAGAAATAAACCCACAGATTTATGGTCAACTAATCTTTGACAAAGGAGCAAAGACTATGCATTGGAGCAAAGAAAGTTAGTTCAATAAATGGTGCTGGGAAAACTGGGTCGCTACATGCAAAAGAATGAAGCTTGACCACTACCTCACACCATACACAAAAATCAACTCAAAATGGATTAAATAACTAGACATAAGACCTGAAACCATAAAATACATAGAAGGAAATATAGGCGAAACACTACGGGATTTGCACCTCAAAGACATCTTTACAGACACATCACCCAAAGCAGTGATAGTGAAGAGAAAGATAAACAGCTGGGACTACATCAAATTAAAGAGCTTCTGCACAGCAAAAGAGACAATAACAAAAACAAAGAGAAACCCCACCAACTGGGAGAACATTTTTGCACCCAACACTAATGATAAAGGACTGATCACAAAAATCTGCAAAGAGCTGATGAGACTCAGCAACAACAAAGAAAATAATCCAGTCAAAAATGGGCAGAAGAGCTAAAAAGAAACTTCTCTGAAGAGGAAATGCAAATGGCCAACAGACATATGAAAAAATGTTCAACATCACTTGTAATCAGGGAAATGCAAATCAAAACTACCATGAGATACCATCTCACACCAGTGAGAATGGCACATATTAAAAAAACTAGCAACAACAAATGTTGGCGAGGATGTGGAGAAAAAGGAACTCTTGTGCACTGTTGGTGGGAGTGCAAACTGGTCCAACCACTATGGAGAGCTGTGTGGAGATTTCTGGACCTACTAAACATAGAGCTTCCATATGATCCAGCAATTCCACTCCTAGGTATTTACCCAAAGGACACAGAAACATCAATTCCAAAGAGCACCTGCACTCCTATGTTTATAGCAGCACTGTTTACAATAGCTAAGCTTTGGAAACAACCCAAATGCCCAAAAATAGATGACTGGATCAAGAAGATGTGGTACATATATACCATGGAATATTACTCAGCATTCAAAAAAGATAAACACATGCAATTTGCAGCAACATGGATGGCACTGGAAGGGATCATGCTCAGTGAAATAAGCCAAAAAGAAAAAGAAAAATACCGATGGTCTCACTCATAGCAGGAATCTAGAAAACTTAAATAAGGGACCAGGAAAATGAATATAAGAAAGTGAAAATCAAAGTCAACAAAAAACTATGAACCAGAGACACTTTTTGGGGGCGGGGGGAAAGGATTGGGGTCAGAATTGGGCGTTTGCAATTGTATGGGGGAATATAAAAATAAAATTTAATATTTAAAAAAAAAAAAAAAGTTAAATTAAGACATGAAAAGAAAAAAAAAAAAAAAAAAATAAAATGGCCATCCTACCAAAAGCAATATACAGATTCAATGCTATTCCAATCAAAATTACAATGTCATTCTTCAAAGAAATAGAACAATTATTGATGAAATTCATATGGAATCACAAAAAACCCCGAATAGCCAAAGCTCTCCTGAAAAAAAAAGAAGGGAATGGAGGCATCACACTCCCAGACTTCAAACTATACTAACTACAAAGCCATAATCATTAAAACTGCATGGTATTGGAACAAGAACAGACACACAGACCAATGGAATTGAATAGAAAATCCAGAAATAAACCCACAGATTTATGGTCAACTAATCTTTGACAAAGGAGCACAGACTATGCATTGGAGCAAAGAAAGTTTGTTCAATAAATGGTGCTGGGAAAACTGGGTCGCTACATGCAAAAGAATGAAGCTTGACCACTACCTCACACCATACACAAAAATCAACTCAAAATGGATTAAAGAACTAGACATAAGACCTGAAACCATAAAATATATAGAAGGAAATATAGGCGAAACACTACATGATTTGCACCTCAAAGACATCTTTACAGACACATCACCCAAAGCAGTGATAGTGAAGGCAAAGATAAACAGCTGGGACTACATCAAATTAAAGAGCTTCTGTACAGCAAAAGAGATAATAACAAAAACAAAGAGAAACCCCACCAACTGGGAGAACATTTTTGCACACAACACTAATGATAAAGGACTGATCACAAAAATCTGCAAAGAGCTGATGAGACTCAACAACAAAGAAAATAATCCCATCAAAAAATGGGCAGAAGAGCTAAAAAGAAACTTCTCTGAAGAGGAAATGCAAATGGCCAACAGACATATGAAAAAATGTTCAACATCACTTGTAATCAGGGAAATGCAAATCAAAACTACCATGAGATACCATCTTACACCAGTGAGAATGGCACATATTAAAAAAACTAGCAACAACAAATGTTGGCGAGGGTGTGGAGAAAAAGGAACTCTTCTGCACTGCTGGTGGGAGTGCAAACTGGTCCAACCACTATGGAGAGCTGTGTGGAGATTTCTGGACCTACTAAACATAGAGCTTCCATATGATCCAGCAATTCCACTCCTAGGTATTTACCCAAAGGACACAGAAACATCAATTCCAAAGAACACCTGCACCCCTATGTTTATAGCAGCACTATTTACAATAGCTAAGCTTTGGAAACAGCCCAAATGCCCAAAAATAGATAACTGGATCAAGAAGATGTGGTACATATACACCATGGAATATTACTCAGCATTCAAAAAAGATAAACACATGCAATTTGCAGCAACATGGATGGCGCTGGAAGGGATCATGCTCAGCGAAATAAGCCAGAAAGAAAAAGAAAAATACCGGATGGTCTCACTCATAGCAGGAATCTAGAAAACTTAAATAAGGGACCAGGAAAATGAATAACTATCAGAAAATGAAAATCAAAATCAACAAAAAACTATGAACCAGAGACACTTTTTGGGGGGTGAGGGGCGGGAGGGGAGGGATTGGGGTCAGAATGGGGGGGGTTGCAATTGTATGGGGAATATAAAAATAAAATTTATTATTTAAAAAAATAAAAAAAATAAAAAGACAATATAAATGGGGAAAAAAACTGTAAATATAAAATATCCTGTTGTCACTGTAAAATTATCAAATGTCTAATATAATCTGGCATTGTATATGACTGTAAACTAGAAACACATAAAGCAAGAAATTGCTTCAATGAGTGTACTCAGAAACTTGTTCTAACAGATTCTTTTGTGTGTGTGAATGGTGACAGATTTCTCCTTATCTTGAGCATTTGTCAAATTATCACTACTTGAATCCCTACTGTCAGACTATAACCAAGAAATAGAAATAACAAAGGAATGTGTTACCTTAGAGGAAGCATTGTCACCTGATTCATGAATTTCAATATTGCTTTTCTTTCATTAAGTTCTCAAAATTTTTGCTTTTTGTGTAAAAGCAAAGGGCCTGCAAATGAAAATAAAATGGACTTATTCCCCCCCAAAAAAAAATTTAAAAAAAAATAAATTATTAGTAAAAGTGGTCATGTTAAGAAGCTGCTATATTATTTACAAGAATTTCTATATCATAATAGTAGTAAAGTTTTCTCCCCTATAAAATCCCAGAAGGTAAATTAGAAAGTTTTACAAAACTTATGCTACATCTCTGTAATACATTACTTTAAATTCAGAATGATCAATACCTCAAACTGCAGAGTTCCCGTTTCCATTCCACTTTTTGATGCTCTAACTGGGATTTTATTTCTTTGGTTTCTGAGAGCTCCTTTTGTAGGCCACTAACCTTATTTTTCATTTTTTTAATTTTTCCCGAAAGCAATTGACAGTGATTTTTTTTTAAGTTCTATTAATCTTTCATATGAAAGAAGTGCATCCTGGATTTTCAATAAGCTCACAGAATCTGCTCAGGGAGAAAACAAACAGAGAAATAAATATATAAGTACTTTTGGTGTACAAAGGATGTGGATTTTCATATTCACTTCTTCATGTATTTATTTTATATATTGAGTGTCGTGTCTACTATGTAGAAGACATAATCAACTTTGTAGGTAAAATAAACAAGAACTCTGTCTATTGTTTAGCTAATGTCTAATGACAGAGGAAGACAAATAAAATGCTAAGTTCTGACAGATACTGTAAGCAAACTGAATTCTATGATCACTAACAGAACATGATCTAGGAAGAGGAAGAGATGGCTACCTTGAGAAATGAAGGATAAACAGGAAGCAATTAAGCAAAGGAGAAAGAACAACATTCTAGGAGTTTACAGCATGTGCTGAAGTTCTACTGCGATCTGCTTCTAGCCAACATGGAATAACAGGTACTTCCTACTGAAACAAGCAAAGACAAAACAGACAAAATACATTCAAAAATAATTTTCAAGATAAAGAACTTCAGGCAGTGAAGGTCAATGATTTCTGAAGTTAATCTAATGAATGCCCCAGCTCACTGCCTTCAAGAATTTCCAGGCCATGCCACAGGGAGCAGGAACTGCAGTGGGGCTGATGAAACAGAGTCTGTGAAAACAAGGTAGATGGAGATCACAGGTCACAACCGTGGAGAGAAAGAACCCCAGGGATCTGCAGAGGGGTCCCTCAGGGTATTCAGCAAAACCAATCAATAGTGTATATACCCTTGTGAGGAAAGCACCAGAGACCAGTGGGGAAAACCATCAGAAAAAAGTAGAGGAAACAGTGTTGGCTGCTCACATAGCACCAGGAATAGTGTCTGCTCCATTAGCTAGGCTGGAAAAACTCCTCATTCGCAGGACAGTGGCTAGTGGGTAACACCCAAGCCGGGGCTGAGCACTGCTTCAGAGTCACTGGATTAATCATAAGAACAAGTACAGGAGGATCAGCCTTGTTGAAAAGTAACTTAACTGTCCTAAAACAGAGCTCCAAAAGATAAGGCAGCTATTAAAAAAAAAAAAACAAAAAAACAAAAAAAACACGACTTATAGAGCCAGAATTCAAAATGTCAGAGATCAAACACACTGGTGGGGGTAAACACATATTAGACATTACAAAAAAAAAAAGAGTTAGTATGATATAGGTGAAATGTGAGAAAAATCCAAGTGGCTAATATACAATTCCCAAGAGGTAGGAGAAAGAGAAAGAAAAAAAATTTCAAGAAAAAAATGGCCAGAACTCTCCAAAGTTAATGAAACCTATTGTCCCATAGATCTAAAAAAGATCAGAAATGAAAGTAAACTATTGTCATTTTCTCACACACTGTATATAATATGGTAAAGTATTACTTGAACGTAAATTGTGATTACCTACTCAAAAACTATAAACTCTAAAGCAACCACTAAACTAACAAGACAAAAGAGATATAGCTAATAAGCCCAAAAGAGAAATAAAACTACATCATAAAAATTACTTAAGCTAAAAAAAGGCAGGAAAAAAAGAGGAACAAGGAGCAGATAGGATGAACAGAAATCCAACAGCATGATGACAGATTGAAACCAACTATATGTCAGTATCACCGTTAGGTGCTAGGTGCGCATGGTCTGAGGGTCTCAATACAACATCTCCATACTTTGTAACAGATGTGAAAAAAGCTCACAAGGTCAATAGAACAAAATGACCTCAATGCAAGACCTCAAACTATACAATTTATAAAAGGTAGCATAATCTTTGTGACCTTGTGCTAAGCAAAGTTTTCTTAAAATGAACACCCAAAGCAAAAGGCATGTAAAGAACCACCACCTAAATCGGACATCAAACATTTTTGCTCTTAAAAAATGAAAATAGACACAAAATGGAAAACAAATGGCACAGCTACTTGAGGAAAAAAGTTGGCAGCAGCTGAAAGGAATACAAATGGTCGTGAGGAGATGTTTTAGAGGTGACGCATACATTAAGTATCTTGATTGCAGTGATGGTTTCCCGTGTACAGACATGGTCAAGTGACCCAGGGACACACTTGCTATATGTACAGTTTACATCACTAAACTATAACAAACAAAAAGTCTTATTGCAAGAAAGAACCACCATGGCAGTGCCTGAGACGCAGATGGATAAAGAAGGACAAGAGATGCAGTGAGAAGACTGTGGTCTTTAACCTTATTCCAATAGCTGGATTTAAGGAAGGGGTTAACATGATGAGATCTGAAGTTTTGAAAATATATCACAATCAAGGTTTTGGAAAGTGGAATGGCAGGGAGAACGGCTCTGAGGTTATTTCAGTATTTCACGAGGGAAATAATGGTACATGACCTTGAATGAAGGCCTAGGAGACACCAGAGTCAGCAAGAGTACAATGAGAATTCTCAAAGCTCTTTGGCTGAGTGTATACAATTGCTTTCATTTCAATTTAATATAAAACAGTTCTGAGATGAATAACATTATACCTGTGCTTTATGATGCAGTACTAGATAAATGGTGTATAAAACCCCACAGTGTAAAGAAAAGACTTTATAGTTATAAAATCCTACCTTTACAATCCATGCTAAGTTGTTCAATTAGCAACATAGAATTCTTATAATTAGAGTAAGGTAATTCACTATCTTCTGAAGCTGTTTCAGATGACTGAGTTAAGTCCTCCAGGTTATCCACAGAATTAATTTGCTTCTTGACCTACAAATGAGCAATGCTATTTCAAAATGTTCTCAAAATATTTAGGAAACATACTAAATATGCAAGGGTGATAAAAATCCATCTTTATATAAAAGCAAAAAGAGACTTCTTTTTAATTACTGTTTTTATCAAAAGACTACCTTTATATATAACTAGTGTTATACATCACTCTTTCAAAATAAACCTCTCTGAAGTTTAGGAAAACTTTCTATTTTTTCATTCTACCTTTTATAATGTATTTCTTTCACAACAGAATAATATTTTTTAAGGATTTATTTTTATTTATTATGCATATAAGAACTATAGGCCAGAGGCATGGTGCGGGTGAGAGGATTCACCAGAGACACAGTGAGGAGCAGAACAGGCGGATCTACTGAAATACACTGCTGCGGGGAGCAGCAGGTGATTTAGGAGAGGTCTGCTGCCCCATATGTGGGTCAGCTCCCCGGGTCTGGGGATTGAACTAATGCTGCAGTGGCTGGCACTAGCTTGATAGCCCTGAGACTTTAACCCCTGCACCACCAGGGAGGTCCCAGGATAATATTTTTTATCAATTAATTTTTACTGTACCTTGTTCCTTTCTTTAGATGTTTTTTTATAAGCCTAAAAAAAATAACCAAACACCTATTTCAGATGCATGTTAACTACTTTAATACAGAGAATAACTGAGACTAGATTTTTTTAAATAAATATCTGCAATGTAATTAATTTTCTAGAGAGGGGATTAAGCAATACATAAAGAGTAATATTAATGAACAAAGAAAATGTACTACAAATAATATTAGCAAATCATTAAATATAGATCAAGCTGACAGTCAACAAGTTTCTAACATTGGTAATACAAACAAAATCAAATTTAATAAACATGTTCTTCTCTACTGGATCATTTCCAAGAGCATAAATTGCTGCACCCCCCCCCCCCTGCAGTGACCCTCAGGGCTAATGGCTGTTGCCATGGTCCCTGAGGTCCGGCGTGGGCAAGGAACCATGCGCGCAGGGGGAGAACAGCAAACTCCCTAAGATGCAGAGAAGCCGAATGCCTGCCAAGAAATAATGACCACCAGAAGCTGCCACAAAGATGATTAAAAGAAATGCTGACCACCTGGAACCTTATCTCGCTTTCTCAAGGCCCACAAACTTTATTCTGCTACAACTGTCTTTCTAAAATCTTTCCTTTTTTCTGGTCATTGATTGCTAATTAAAAAACATACCTAATTTAATAATTAGGTTAATGCAAATGAAACATTACTAAACACTGTGTTATAATAGAATTGTTAGTTTAATAATCTTTCTATTATGTGCTTAACTTTAGTACCTTTGATATTAACTGCATTATAAAATAAATTCACCCATGACAATTAATTATGAGTAAAAATGATAGTTAGTGCAACTAGAAAATAATTATATAAAACAGCAGAAAGAATTTATAGCCTGTCCAATTAGGAATGAGGCTAGGTCCAGATGTAACTTCGGACATAAATCACTGCCCTGTCAATTAAGCTAAGTCTATGAGCAAACTGATCTCTTTGATGTTCACTGTTCCTATGCTTTTAGAAAAACATATATATACTGACCACTAGCTTAATAAAGATGCACTCAGATTTTCACTCTCTTGAAGTGTGTCTGTGTGTCATTTATTCATCGAATCCCTGACCACCCTGCGCAGTCTCTCAACCCTGAGACGGCCTCATCGTCCATCGCTGTGCTGGTCCGCGGCAATAAATATCTAAGATAAGAAAGAAAACTCCCTCGAACTCCACATTCTTCTGAAGTTATCCATTTTTCTACTGTCTTTCTCCGTATATATTCTTCTATAAAGGAGCAATTCACACTCACTCACCACAAACTGGCTGAAGGGCAACTATTTATTGAAACTTTCTCATCAAAGTTACTGGTCCTATTGTAACCTCTCAACAGTATTTCTCTGATATTCTCTAGAACTCTCTTGTCGGGGACTGTACACTACATTATAGTTGTTTTATTCCCAGAAAAAGTAATCACTGCTAATATTCCTATACCTAGAAATAAAGAACTTAGAGAATTTACCTTCCATCATTCTGATCTACTTCACTTAAGCTGCTGTCATCATTCACTTGAAGCACACCACCAGTTAGGGAACCAGCCTTCTCAAACATGGATGTAGTCACAGATGCTTTGACTGTCCATTTGCTATTTTTCATTTTTCTTTACTTCTTTCATAGGCAAGCCAGGATTACTACTTTTAAAAATCCACAAAAAGGTCAATATTTAGAATAGTTATTTTGTACAGTACTGATATTTTGTACAGTTCCAACATTTATCTACATTCATTTGTCTATTAATTCACAAGAAGTATGAAGTACCATCTGTAAGCAAGGAAATATATTTTTCTTGCTTCAAAAACAGATATACAATTATGATATAATGTGCTATAGAAGAATTGTCATATGAAATGTTAAGTGAGCACAAGGAAGGCTTTAAGAAGAGGGATGGCAGAGAAGGTCACCAGGAAAAAAAACGCACGAGAAAAAAACATTATACATGGAGAGTCTTTAATGCACAAAGACTAGGAGAAGTATAAAATTCATAGAATTTTATGTGATAGAATTTTATAGTGATGAGTTAGGAAATTGTGAAGCTTCTGTGCAAAAGCTTGAGAGTGAGGTGCCTAAAGTAATGACTCTCAGACACTGTAGTACTAATTAGATCACCACTGTATTTTTTATTTTAAAATATAGTAATACTTAAATGACATTATTTTTAAAATAGCGTGAGGCACATATAATATGAAAGAAGAAATCAGACTATCTTGGGTGGTGAGGGCAATCTTACTTTTAAAGTAGGCCTGAATGTCTCCAGTAAAAATATAAAATTTGTTAATGACGATATTAGCACACATTATAATTTGTTTTATAAAAAAATAACAAGTACCTACTATTAAATATATGCTAACTAGGTTTACCTATCAGAATCTTCATTCTCCATAATAGGAAAGTGCTGGTTATCAGTTTTCCCATTCTTTGTTTGTTGAATTAATCCACGGTTATCAATAGCAACATCACAAATATTCTCTGATAATTCCATTTCACTATTTTTGTGCATCTTGTTTTCTTCTTCAACCTTCAGTAAAAGTTTGATATTAAGGAAATTACTATTACTTTATTCATTAAAAATAATTATTTTTGTTTTCATTAGTTTATCTTCTGACTAGTGGTTGTGATTTTATCCAATACAGATATTTTTGTGTGCTTCCTTTATTTTTATCATTATAGATCATTGAGATTTTTGTAAATTCTGCTTCATTCTGACTCAAGAAAGACCTTTCCAAAATTCCTACAAGGGCTTTCTTAAATCTGTGCTCTTATTCACACCCATTCTTCACTACCTAACATATTTACCCCTGCCATCTGACTGACAGATGGCAAATAGACTTCAGCACAATGTGACCTTGTCCGTCTTTACCGTCTTTAAATAGCCAAGTTAATATACACTAATGAGAGTGGATTAAAATATTTTAATATGTACTCATTACCCACACTGAGATAGAAAAATATTACCTGTACCTGAACAAGAAAAAGCCCACCCTAGAAGGTGTGATTCTCTTAATAGGCAGTTGGATTATTTCTTTTTCTTTTTTTTCTTTTTTTTGCCAACTAATTAAGTCTTTAATTAGTGCTTCAAATTCAACAAGTCATTTCCAGGATGATTTTTCTTAAACAAAAGAAACTGATAATTCAACTTCTTGACAAGTTGCTGCTAAAGAAAATAAACTCTTTATGTTTTTTTTTTTTTTTTTTTTTATTTATTTATTTGTTTGTTTGTTTGTTTTGTTTATACATGCACTGAGTACAGTCAGAAGCGCGGGAGGGTGAGAGAATTCACCAGAGCCAGAGCAGGGAGCAGAGCAGGCAGAAGGACGGAAGTACACTGCTGAGGGGAGCAGCGGGCGGCAGGAGAGGTCTGCGCGCCATGTGGGACCCTCCTCTGGTGGCCGGGGAGCAGCAGGGGATCGAACCGGCACCGCAGAGGTCGCGGGCAGCTTCGCAACCCAGCGCTCAACCGCTGCGCCACCGGGGAGGCCCGAAAATAAACTCTTTAAACATATGACACATCATTTAAAAAATTATCCAGCATCACCTTCTATGATATTGTTTTGCATTTTGGGCACATAATTATTTTATTATTTTTTATTATTTTTTAATAAATTTTATTTTTATATTCCCCATACAATTGCAACCCCCCTTATTTTGACCCCAATCCCTTCCCTCCCCGCCCCCCACCCCTAGAGAGTGTCTCTGGTTGATAGTTTTTTGTTGATTTTGATTTTCACTTTCTTATAGTTATTCATTTTCCTGGTCCCTTATTTAAGTTTTCTAGATTACTGCTATGAGTGAGACCATCCGGTATTTTTCTTTTTCTGACCCCATATACTGTTTGAAATTAGACTCTAAGTCAATTGCATAGAGATCACAGGAGAATAAGTCTTTCACCTTGATGTTGGCGACTGGCAATATGAAACTGCAAATTTTGAATCAGTGGGAATGATTATTCCTTTTACATTTTTCCAACTCAATGGACATCACTGTTTCACTGTTCATAATTTCAACGGATTATCATGTTTCAGCACTGGATTTCTACCTTGTTAATCATGTAGGGAAGTTATAAAAATGCAAGAAGCAAGCAATATTCAGGAATTTTTTCTCTCAATTCCAAGGATAAAGTTACTAGATTCTAAAAACATTTTAAGTTTTCAACAAGCACAAATATTTTCAAAACTAAACGTTAAATTATGATCTATTAAGTCTAAAAAACTAGTCCAAAAATAATTTGATTTGTATTACGCTATGTTTAAAGCACAGAAAACAATATTAAACCAGAAATTAAGTATAAATTTCTACATACCAGTGGGTGGTCATTTTCACTTCCATCAAGCCTTTCTTGACCTTCCTCTGATGTCATTTCTAAGTCTGGTTCTTCTGACAAATCTATATATGTTGTTAAAATGAACTACTTAGAATGCTTAGGCAAAAACACAACGTAACATTTTATTTAAAGTTCAAGTTAAGGGCCTCCCCGGTAGCGCAGTGGTTGAGCGCCGGGTTGCGAAGCTGCCCGCAGCCTCTGCGGCACCGGTTCGATCCCCGGCTGCTCCCCGGCCACCAGAGGAGGGTCCCACATGGCGCGCAGACCTCTCCTGCCGCCCGCTGCTCCCCTCAGCAGTGTACTTTGGTCCTTCTGCCTGCTCTGCTCCCCGCTCTGGCTCTGGTGAATTCTCTCACCCTCCCGCGCTTCTGACTGTACCCAGTGCATGTATAAACAAAACAAACAAATAAAATAATAAATAAATAAATAAAACATGCCTCTATAAATAAATAAATAAATAAATAAATAAAATAAAGTTCAAGTTAAGCTTAATGTTTAACTGAATGTTGGCTTCGTAAAGAAATTATTTCTGGGCCTCCCTGGTGGCACAGAGGTTGAGCGCTGGGTTGAGAAGCTGCCCGCAGCCTCTGCAATGCCAGTTCGATCCCCGGCTGCCGGGTGAGGGTCCCACATGGTGTGCAGACCTCTCCTGCCGCCCGCTGCTCCCCTCAGCAGTGTACTTCGGTCCTTCTGCCTGTTCTGCTCCCTGCTCTGGCTCTGGTGAATTCTCTCACCCTCCTGCACTTCTGACTGTACCCAGTGCTTGTATAAATAAATAAATAAATAAATCTTTAAAAAAAAAAAAAGAAATTATTTCTAACTATCTAAAACTTCAAGATCATCTGGGAAAATTTGATTCCAGGTACAAACAGCTCAAGGGTTCACTCACTCACAAATTTACCCATTCAACATCAAGGGGAAAAACTATATATGAAACACAATTTTAAAGTATACATTACTAACCAATAAAGTCACACTATTAAATAGCACATGAAGCTTTAACTGCAATATTATTCATCGTTTCCAAAATCACTGTTGATTTTTCTGCCTTTATCAGTGCACAGCTTTCCATAATTGGAAATGTTTTCCTGTATTATTCTGACAAATTCTTTTGCATCTTTTTAGATTCAGCTTGCTATGTTAAGTCCTCCTTGATTATGACACTTTTCCCAGATAAATAGATGTCTCTTTCCTTGTGGCTACATAGCACTGTACAGATTTTTCTTTTGTATCTTCATCACTTGAACTGCAATTTATTTCTTTACATGTCTATCCCCTCTGTTCTTACACTATGGGGATTAATCTCTTGGATTATCCTTATATAAAGAAACTATTTATTTTGCTCAATAGCTATTATTTGAGATCATGGCTTTTTAGAGATAATCCCTGAAATGAGACCTAAAAAGTTGGTTGGCCAGACTCAAAGGGGTAGGGGCAGGAGAGGAGAAGAGTATTCAAGGCTATAGCAAGACAGTGAGAGAAGCACACAGAAGGACACATATTTGTCTAAAATACCAGGATGAAGAAGGCATCAATCATCAGAAGTTGAGAATGCCAGAGCAAAGTGCAGTAGAAAAGACTAAAATGTTAAATCTGTGCTGCAAAACTTACCTGATTGAGATGTTTGCACATCTTTCACTCCTACTGCATTTTTAGGAACAACATCTTTCACTTCAATGGTAGGCTGAACGGGTTTTGAAACAAGATGATTAATAATGTGCATTTCATACAACCTATAGTTAATAATTCATAATGAAAAAATTAAAGTTACTACCTTCAAGTGATGGTATTTTTTAGGAGAATCTGGAAAGCAAAAGGGACACATGATCAGTCATATGTAAATATGAAAGCCAGCAAGACATTCAGGCAGAGTTAGTATCAAGCTGAATCCTCATGCTGGGCTTTGGAAATGATCACATCAGGCTTTGGTTGGTTGGCTTTAGGTTAGGACAGCCACAGGCAGAAATGTGAGCCCAGAATAACACTGAATGAAGAACAAGACTATAGGTTTAACAAAACATGCAGTTAATATTTCAGAACTTAAGGTTAAGTTTCAAATGATTATAACTAAAATAGAAAAGTATCAATATCTCAGTGTGAACATGCTGATTGATGGGGAAAAAGTGTTATTTAATCACAAGAAAAAACCATGACGCTGAGAGGATAAACGTGAGAGCTGATGGTAGAATGAAACAGCATGTATTTAGTGCAAGACATCAGAATCAGGTAAACCATTATACTACAAGTACTTATCATATTTCATATTATCATTCTCATACCATATATATTATATTCTTATCATATCTTCAATTTATCTTATAATTTAGGAAGTACACAGCTGTGATGACAGTTCAATTGATTGCATAATTTGTCACTCTTTAGAGAGAGTGTTATGAATTGATCAGCATGGTTATACACTTGTAGAATAATAGTTAATAAAAATATTCACATTTTTCCATACCCAGCTGGGCTACTGGAATGCCTACATTTCTTGTATCCTCTACTTCAGACATCTTAAAATTTGTTGATCCGCTCATGCAAGAAGGTATATAAAATACATCTAAGAAATAATGTATATAAAATTTCAATTCTAAAATATGGTTATCAAAAGAAAAAAATTAATTGCAAGAAAATTATCAGATATCTTAAATCTTTATATTTCAAAATCAGTGTAAGGTTTACTGAAAATAACAGTATTACTACTATGTAGGGGGAAAAATTCTTTAATTTCTTTCATTTCCAAAATGAATTTGGCTTGCTATATCATGATACTCTTTAAAGGATTTTTATGAAAGTTATAAAAAAAAATAACTATCAAAGAAAAAAAGTCAAGGCTACTACTATATTCAAATTAACTTCATTAATTTGAAAAATATACGTGGCACCAATCACCACATGTATTTTTTTTATAATAAATTTTATTTTTATATTCCCCATACAATTGCAACCCCTTTTTTTGACCCCAATCCCTCCCCTCCCGCCCTCTACCCCCCATAGAGTGTCTCTGGTTCATAGTTTTTTGTTGATTTTGATTTTCACTTTCTTATAGTTATTCATTTTCCTGGTCCCTTATTTAAGTTTTCTAGATGCCCCAAAATAGATGACTGGATCAAGAAGATGTGGTACATATATACCATGGAATATTACTCAGCATTCAAAAAAGATAAACACATGCAATTTGCAGCAACATGGATGGAGCTGGAAGGGATCACGCTCAGCGAAATAAGCCAGAAAGAAAAAGAAAAAATACCGGATGGTCTCACTCATAGCAGGAAACCACATGTATTTTTTGATGTCTGATAGTTATTAGGAGGTAAATTAGTGGCTAAGGTTTACCCCAACTCCAGCACACTCTCCTGCTTCCAGTACCATCTGGAGAAGCAATGATAAAATTTTTTTTGAGTGCAAATACACTGAAGTCATCTAAACTGAGTTCTCTCAAGTTTCATCAACTCTAAAACTACCAAGTTAACCATTTTTCCTCCCTCCTGCCCTTCACTATCCTCCTTCCTCTTCAAAAGAAATCTCTAGATCTGTGGTCTTGATCTTCACCTTTTACATGGATTATATGTGTGTGTGTGTGTACTCATATATATGTATATAGTATCTAGTCATATATATGACTATACATAATTTATGTATTACATATTATCCTCACCACTTCTCTTTTCTCTTTGCTTAGCAGCAATATCTTTTATCTATAGTTTTAATTCTTCATCTGTTTCCCTCTGACTATAAACATGTTCAGAAATAAAAACGAAGTGCTTTCCTTAATCCTTTTATATCTTGAGCTATCCAGTGACTCTTCTTCCAGAATTCTCTAAAGAGAAGTTTACACCCTGGCAACTCAAAGCAAGGTCTAAGGAAAAGCAACAATGGTATCACCTGAGAGCCTGTTAGAAATGCAGATTTCCACCACAACACTCAGAATGTGTATTTTTAACAAGTTACCCAAGTGATGCATTAACATTTGAGAAACTGTAATCTATACTGAGTCTGCTGTCACATTTATTTTACCGTAACTCATCCTTTTAAAATCTAGTTTCAAGTTCCTCACTATCACTTCCTCAAAACTGAAACTGCATTAGAGGTCATGAACTTTGCAATGAATTTTTTTTTAATCAGGCTATTGCTTCCTTAATCTTTCCATAACTGACTCTACCCTCCTCTCTTCAATTCTCTTATTTTGTCCTAGATGATCCTATCCTATGAGGTAGCAACATTTTACTTAACATTTAAGCATACACATTTATAGTTGGCCACATCCATGATGCTCACCCATGGAAAATAAAACATAGCATTAAATGATCTCAATCTTTAATGTCTTCCCAACAATGAGGAAAGCAGTAAGAATGGGGAGATTTTGTCCTGCTTCTCCATGAGTTTTGGTACTGGGAACTCACCTTACATTCTCCCCAAGTTTGAACACTCTGCTCTTCCTTTTTTTTTTTTTCTGGTTAATACATATATTTATTGAGTAAGTTCAACGCCTTTATGGACACAGGCCATATATAACACTCACATTACAACAGTCACATCAAAGATTACAAATCATACATCACCATAATAGACATTAAAATAACGAAAAAGTTTGACGTATTTTTGAGAATTACCAACATGTGACATACAGTTACAAAGTGTGCACAGACTTTGGAGAAATGATGCCATTTTTTTTTAACACCTCCCTCTATATATACACCCAATTCTCTTTCCTTCATTTAGCCCCTATCTCCACTCTCTGCCTTTCTCATTCATTCTTCACCCCCACTTTTCTTCTTCTTTATTTCCTAATTTTCCTAGCTCTCAGAGTATCTTAAAGTACACTAACACCCCTTTAGAAGAAAAGCCTTTCAATGTAATCTGTTGTTGACACCTGATAAGAAAACAAAACTTATTTCCTTTTCACTTCTCTTTTACCTTAGTATGCATTTATTAGGTGATTATCTTTGGCTATTAGAATACATCGCTATTCTTATTTTAACTCAACATGCAGTCAAATGACCCCTTTAAAAATAAATTTCTTACCATCTACTTTTCCAGTTAACATATTTTTTCCTCTTTGGTCTGCAGCTCCAGATAAATGATCAACATATTTCTGTGGAAGACTCTCAGAAATACTCTGTTAAATTTGATATTAATAAATAATGAGTGGGAGAAAATTTCCTAATCTCTAAGAAAACATTTGAATTTCCTAGCTTAAACATTTTTAAACTTAAAAAACAAAGAGAAGCATGTATTAAAATCTAAAACACTTAAATTGAAAACCTCATCTATGCTTTCTAGGTCAATTCTATCTTTCATCTTTATTTGGCAATTGACTTAGTAAACTGAGCAAAGAAGATAGGAGTGTTTTCATTGACAAAATACTAATTTGCCAGCATATTTCTATAAAACACTTACCTTTAATTTTCATTCCTCAACAAGATAAAAGAATATTTAAAAATATATATATTTAAACAAATTCTTTAATGAGTATACTTGTTATAAATTTAAACTATCTGTAATAATAGACATTCTTTTAGTGTTAAAACATACTTGGCATAAAAAACTTTGGTGCATGTCTTGTTCCCTATAAAAAAGAACACTGTAGGGCCTCCCTGATGCTTCAGTGGTTGAGCACTGGGCTGCGAAGCTGCCCGCAGCCTCTACTGCTGCGCCAATTCGATCCCTGGCCGCCGGCAAGGGTCCCACATGGCGCAACAGACCTCTCTTGCAGAGCCTGCTGCTCCCCTCAGCAGTGTACTTCGGTCCATCTGCCTGTTCTGCTCCCCGCTCTGGCTCTGGTGAATTCTCTCACCCTCCCGTGCTTCTGACTGTACCCAGTGCTTGTATAAATAAACAAATAAATCTTTAAAAAAAAAAAAAAAAGAAAAAGAAAGAACACTGTAGAGCTTACTTCATTTTGGAAAACAAGGATTTGGAAGAATGTAAGTTTTAAAATGTTGCATGCATCTTACTTTAGCTCAACATGGGGACAAAGTAATCCTTTTCTCTCTAATTTGGCAATGTTTTGTAAATTTATTTTTATTAAGGTAACATTGGTTATTTGTGTGATATATCTAACAACTAAAGCTTAAAATGAAATTACTTCCCATATTTTAAATGCATTTCTGTTCTTTTCATAGATAAATGGCAAATTGTTTCTGTGTGTTTATTTTCATCGTTGTGTGCTTAATTGTATTAATCTTCTATAACAGATTAATTAATCTATTCTGTTACAAATCTGTCACATCCCATAACAGAAAATAATCTGTGCTCTGTGCTGCCACAGCTTCTAATTGCTCCTTATATAAAGGTACAAAATTCTCCTCATGGCACACTCAGGAGTAAAATTCCTGGGTTGTATGGAATGCAAATATTCTGCCTTTCAAGATAATACTCAATCACTTTCCAGTATGATGGTATAAATCCTTTCTATGGAGTTTGATTGTGAACTACAGGTAGAATGTGAGTTAGTGGTAGTGCAGGTGAGCTGACATGAAACAGAAAATAAAATAGAAAACACAGGAGAAAAGAAGACATCAATGGACAAAAAGTCAGTATAAGCAGAAGTTCTGCAGTGGACAAGAGTGATGTTCCTGGTTGATGCAGGTACAGTAACATCACAGATACAGAGCTAATGCCAGATCCTGAAATGTTCCAGTTTCTGGGGGATGGCTCAGTGACACCACCTCCAGTAGTGTTGAACAGGAATGGTGGGTGACTTGAGGCACTGTTCTCCCATTCTCAAATGCAGGGCAAATGCTTTTATCATTTTATCATAAAATATGCCCTTTCTTATAGATTATTGTATAGATGAAAGAAGTCTCCAATGAAAACTATTTTCCTACAGGATTTATTTTAAAGTGAAAAATATATATTGCATTTTATCAAATGTTTTTTTCTGCATCTTCAAGACTACTGTATTTTATCTCTTTGTGCTATTCATGTAGAAGATAACATTATTTGATATGTCAAAGCCACACTGCAATCCTTCACAGAATAAACCTAAATTTGGGAGGTTATTTTCTTGAGGATTTTTGCATCTCAGCATATGAGACAAATTGGACTTTAAGGTTTCTTTTCTTAAATGTCCTGAACAAGGTTTTATAACAGTGTTATGCTGGACTCATAAAATAAATTATAAGTTTTCCCATTTTCTCTATTTGAAGGAAGATTTTGTTTGAGATACCAATAAGTCTAGATGAAATATCTGGAGATTTTATTTTTGACCTCTCTGGACCTGGGATTTTCTTTGTGGGGAGAATTTTTGTCATTCCCGTTTTATTACAATTTAAACATCTTTAACAGAAAATAGACTACTCAGATTTCCTATTTTCCCCCACAATGGTTTGTACATTTCACCTAAATTTTCAAATTTAATGTCACAAAGTTGCACCTTATCTCCCTTTAAAAGTGTTTGTGTGCAGACAATTATAAATCAGAGACATACTGCAGGGGAGGAGGAGAGAGGTGGGGTGAGAGGGAGGGAGGGAGGAGCACAGGGGACTGTGGTGATGGTACATGGGTGCCTTGGGGAAGGAGAGTCTATGGGGACTAAATCTGAGGGGGTGGGGGGAAGAAAATATGGTCTAAAAAAATGTAAAAAATGATAAATGTTAAAATTAAAAAAAAAGTGTGTGAACTAGATATGGATGATTTTTATTTTCACTTGTTTTTTAAGATCAGTTTTGCTAGATATTTAACAATATTATTAAAAATTATTTTTTCTAGTACATGTTTTTCAATTTCATGAATTTCTGTTCTTTTCTTAATATACTTTCCCCTACTACATCCTTTGTGTTTAATTTGTTATTTTTATTCTACTTCTTAGATTCCTGTATGATAAAATTTCACTCTTGCCAATTAGCAGAATTGTACTATGAAGTAGTATTAAATTTGGCATGTTATTAATTATATATTAAATCTACAATGAAATAATTTAATGGGAAAATACAGAGATGAGAAAATAAAGTCAAATCAGAGTCTTTTATGTTTTAATGTCATTCAATGCTTACAGTGGGAAAAAAATTAATAGAAGACAGTACCTCGGAATCCCAAGGTGATTCTGTATCTTCCTCTTCTCCTAATCCTAATGCTGACATCATATCTATAAAACATAGGTACAGATACATTAAGGACAATGTCTATTACTATGAATTATTTTTAAAAAGTCTACGTTTAGGGCCTCCCCAGTGGCGCAGCGGTTGAGCGCTGGGTTGAGAAGCTGCCCGCAGCCTCTGCAGCGCCGGTTCGATCCCCGGCTGCTCCCCGGCCACTGGAGGAGGGTCCCACATGGCGCGCAGACCTCTCCTGCCGCCCGCTGCTCCCCTCAGCAGTGTACTTCGGTCCTTCTGCCTGTTCTGTTCCCCGCTCTGGCTCTGGTGAATTCTCTCACCCTCCCACGCTTCTGACTGTGCCCAGTGCTTGTATAAATAAATAAATAAAAATAAATCTTTAAAAAAAAAAAGTCTACGTTTATGAATATTTCCATAAAATATTATAGCAGAAAGGAATTTCAGAAGGTTGAAGAAATTTCAGGAAGAAAAAGCTGGTATACTTATGAAGAAAGAAAGCAAAAGAAAAATACTTAAAGGAAATAGATATTGACTGGTTGACTCAGAAGGAGGAACACACCCTTAGGGGTTATGTACAAATGGAGGTAACATAGGCATAAGCCCAGCCCACATGCACAACTATCACTAGTGACGGACTCCTTCGGGACCCCCCCCTCAGCCCCGCCCCGACTCACTGATGACCCAGCTACATTTTACTTCTCCCTGACATACAGTGCCATCAACTGGAAATGTAGAAGCTCTGTAGCCTTAATATTTAGAAAGCAAATAACAGGGAGGTGAAAAAACACTACAAGCAGCAACCTAAGTTCTCAGAGGAACACTACACCACAGAGAAAGAACACTCGAGAGCCTAACCAAAGACATGCAAGATCATTATTCCTGTCAAGTACAGAGCTCAAAAAGGCACAGGGTGACTGATTAGATTAGAAAACAGAATCTAACTTTTTGCTTTCTCCAGGCTCAGACTAAAGAGTTGGGAAACAATCCCACAAGCAAATGGGACAATAGCAGATTAAATAGATCTCCAGCTGAAAAACATGAAGAGACAGGGATAAACACAATAAATGATTTCAGGAAAAAACACATCGGGAAGTCATAATACTCATCAATATTATACTCACCAAACCAAGGAGCATCAAAATATATAAGGTAATCACTATCAAATATAGACTTTGCAAAAAAACACATTCATGTCTGGGGCTTCAACATTTCCTTTTACCAATGGGCAGATTAACCACACAAAAAGTAAGGACACCGTAGCCTTAAATAAAGAATTAGACCATATGGGCTTAAAAGACTTTTGTAGGGCAGTGCACCCCACCCTCCCAAAAGCTCAATACATATTCTTCTCAAGTGCACATGGGACATTCTCTGGGATTGACCACAGAGTGGGTCACAAGACAAGTATCGACAAATTCATAAAAACTGAAATCATACCAAGCTTCTCCTCTGACAACAATGGTATCAAACTAGAAGTCAATCAAAAATGAAGGGAGGAAAAAAACCTCTAATATGTGGATGTGGAGACTGAATAATACACTACTGAGTAACTACTGGATTAATGAAGAAATCGAAGATAAATTAAAAAATACCTTGAGACAAAAATGAGGAAAAACCTTTAAGAACCTATGGGACACAGCAAAAGCAGTATGAAGAGGGAAGAATATAGCATATAGCAACACAGGCCCACATATATAAAATGAACAAAAGATCAAATAATCTTACCGTTCACTGTAAGGAACTAGAAAAAAAAAAAAAACAAGAAAAAAAAAGCCAATAGAAAGAAGGAAATAATAAAAATTAGGGCAGAAATAAATCAAGTTAAAGTCAAAATGACAGTCCCAAAGATTAACGAAACCAAAAGTTGGTACTTTGAAACAATAAACAAAATAGGCAAACCTGTAAATAGGCTCACAAAGGAAAGAAGGGAGAATTCAAATAGGACCAGAAATGAAAGAAGAGAACTTATAACAAACATCTTAGAGATTCAGAGAATCATAAGAGTTTACTATGAACATTCCTGTATGCTGGTAAGCTGAATACCCTAGAGGAGATGGATAAATTCTTGGAAATATACAACCATCCCAGGCTGAACAGCAAAGAAACAAGAAAATCTGAGCAGATGAATTACAAGCAAGGAGATATATATATAAATATATATATATATACACACACACACATATATATATATATATAATATACACACACACACACACACACACACACACACATATATATGTATCTCAAAACCCAGAAACAAGCATTGGTGAGGATGTGGAGTAAAGGAACCCTTATACACTGTTGATGGGAATGTAAACTGGTCCGTCCATCCCCTATGGAATATAGTTTGGAAGTTTCTCAAAATATTAAAAATGGATGTACCATATGACCCAATAATTCCACTCCTAGGTGACTATCCAAAGAACAGAAAAATACTAATTTGAAGGGACACACGCACTCCTTATTGCAGCACTATTGACAACAACCAAGCTATGGAAACTAAGTGCCCAAAAACAGATGAGAAGATCAGGATATATAGTATATATGTGCAATAGAATACAACTGGGCTATTAAGAAGAGATAAACTCTTGCCATTTGAGATACCATGGATGGAGCTGTAGGGAATTAGCAAAGCAAAATAAGACAGGGGCCTCCCTGGTGGCACAAGGGGTTAAGACACAACCTATGAAGCTATCTGCAGCTGCTGCAGCATGAGTTCGATCCCCGGCCAGGGAGCTACCCACATGGTGCGGGAGACCTCTCCTGACTCGCCCACTGCTCTCCTCAGCAGTGTATTTCAGTCAGTCTACCTGTTCTGTTCCCCACTTTGTCTCTTGTGAATCCTCTCACCCCCCACATCTCTGGCCTGTACCCCAGTTCTTGCATGCATAAATAAATACATCTTTCAGAAAAAATAAGACAGAAGAATAAAGGCAAATACTGAATGGTGTCACTCATATGTGGCAACAGAGAAACAAACCAAAGGGTCAGATAAAGTCAAACCAATAACAAAACCTAGGAAGCTGACTTTATTACTGAGGCTACTAGAGGGGGAGAGGGGAAGGGGCAAGACCAAAGTGGGATGGGAGCCCAGAGGACTATGGGGGCTTTGGTGGGGATGTGGCGTAGAGACAACACCTAAAGGGGGAGACGCTGTACCTCTAAAACACAAACCATGCTGTAAAACAATGTTGCTTCAAAAAAATAGAAAGAAGTGGATATCTCATTTCGATCGAGAAACTTTAGTTTTGTTTATACCACCATTTAAGGATAGAAATATATTAATAAATAGTCACTCACCACTTCTATTATTTTTGTGTGCTCCATCAACATAAGCCAAATTGTAATTATTTATGTGCTCTTGTGGAGCAATATCAATAATATCATTACCCTTTTCTTCATTTCCAACTGCTGGCTTTGTTGCTTCTTCCTGTAAAGGCAAAACAAAAACCCAACTTCAGAAAACAACCATTCATTCATATGCTTACTCACTGAACTAATCTATCAGTAAGACCACAACATTTACTATACTGAAGTATAGGCACCAGCCCTGCCTGGAAAAAGCTGGAAATATAAATAAAAGACAAATTCTCCCCAATATTTCAGTTAGGGTAGAAATACATGAAGAAAATTAAGAACAGAAAAGTGTTAATTCACTAGTTCTTCAACTGAGGTGAATAAAGTACAACCAGGGCACAAAGGAGAGCACAGTTAGTTGTACCTGGAAAGCTCAGGAACAGCTGACAGGATAGGGTTGTATCTTGCAATATACAACAAATTCAGGGAGAAGGGAGTGAGAGTATTCTCGAAAGGTGATAGGAGCAAAATAATGACATACAAAGCAAGAGAGTCAACAACACTATCAGGGTAATGTGGTAACACAGGAACTCAGTTATTGGGAGTGGGATGGAAAAATAAAAGTAGAGAATCAGAGACAAACCAAAAAAAGTCAAGTGTCATGTGAGCATATGAACTTTCCCTTCAAGTACAAGTATGGATTAAATAAACAATGGTGTTACATCAGTGCAAATATAGGTTAGTAAAGTTACTGTTGGCATTGTGAAGACGATATAAGGGAAGCAAACGAGAAAAGTATTTCAGAATTATAGTGAGAAAGTAAGTTACAGTAATAAGATATCAAAAATGGTAAGCAAGCAAAAATATTGTTTGGTGAGTGACTGAATTGATGATTTCAAGGAAGATTGAAAACCAAGATTTTGGCTGCTTCTTGGGGTTTCAGGAGTGCTATCTGCTAGAATGGCAAAAACAGATGTCAAAGTAAATTACAAAGAGTCAGGATAGAGGAAAATCTTAGGGACAATTGTTATAGAGCAACCCCGATATTAAACAGGTTCCTGGCTGTGGGTCCTCACCCACGCGCTTTAAAGGGACTTATGAATACTCTATTACAGACACACACAAAAAGGTTAATAAAAAGTTTATTTACAAGAGGAAAGGAAATAAGGAAAATGTACAACTCAGGGAGAAAATAGGGAAATAAAGTCTTTAATGCGTCCTACCCGATCCGACGACCTGGAAACCCAAAGTCACTCTCAGAGCTGGCCGGACGCTCGGACGCTGCAAGCTGGCGGAGAGCCAAAATGGGTCCCCCCAAAGCCCACGTGTCTGCCTTTTATATCCACCTGGCTGCTTAACCCCACCCTCAGGTCCCAGCCACCTTCCCTTTGGTGGTGATGGGATTTGAAGTTCCCAGTGTCTTTGTCTTTGACCTGGGGTGGGGGTGGAGTCCACAAAGCCTGTATGGAATTAGCTTTGGGACATCCTTTTCCCCCTAGCAATTCCCCCCTTACACTTTTTGCCACCATTTTCATGGTGATGAAGATCAAATATATGGAGGTTGGGATGCAGTTTCAGATGAACATTTTTTTTAGGTTTCAGTGTGAAAGAAAACCAGTTTCTTTAGGTATTTGTCCATTGTGGAAAGTAAAAGTCCTTTACTCCAGGAAAAATAGTTTATCAGTTTAAGCCAAAAAAAAAAAAAAAAAAAAAAAAAAACATCTGAAGGCATTAGCCAAAACAAGACAGTAGATATGTAAAAATCACAGGAAAAAAAAATTTTAAAATGGTTCAACTGATGTAAAACACAAATTTTCTTAACCTTGATCCCAAACATTTAACAGTATAGCAAAAGTTTGCAAACTAAATTTACTTTTAAACTATTTTTCCTATTTTTGTATAAAATCACAGGGCAGAAAATAACTAACAGCAATTTTTAGCTGGCTTTGTTGAAATACTCCACACAGGATCAGAGCGAATCGGTGGCATCCAGTCGATGTAGGCTTCAGGTATAAAGTTGGTCTCATTAGACTCCACCTGGGCTTTTCTCTTTTTGAGGGTACCAGGGCATTTTTTGTTGGCCGGGTTGTCCAGTTCTGTCAATGGAGGCAAGTTTCCTTACCTTCTTTGGAGGTCTCTGGAACCCTACAAACAAGGCAAACAGGTTTTTCTCTTTTTGGTTTAGCTTTTTTTAAACTTTTTAGAAGAACTTCACACAAAGCCACACAATTAAACTCACGTTCAATTTTTTGTTAAAACAGACAAAATTTTTATGGAAGTTATGCAAAAACAGTCTCTAAGATAAGTAGCAAAAATTACTACCACTATTTGTATGCCGTGTTGGTATCAAGGGGAGAGAAAATGTGACAAGTTAGCTTTGCTGGAAAAAAATTGCAACCTTGCTGCAGATTTTGGTTACTCAAAACAAAACAAAACAAAACAAAACAAAACAAAACAAAAACTTTGTGGATTCAGGACAGAATGCATAAAAATTACCAGTATTATGTCAAAGAACACTTAGTAAATGTTAGGTGTATTTCCAGGTTTATTTAGTCCTTTGTAGGCAAGTTTTTTACTCTCAACAGTTCCATCAATAGGAATCTGTTGAGACCTTTTTTTCCTATATTTCCAGAAACAATTTTTGTAGATGTGAAACAATTGAATTATACAATATTACAAGGTGACAATCACCATTGACAATTTACATACATACCAGATACTGAGAGGTTTTTTTATACACATTTTAGAAAACCACTGTTAACATTTCTGTACATACCAAAGTTTTACCATTTCCTTAAGTGACAATGTTTCCCTTCCAGTGTTACTTCATTAGGTAAGTCAAATAGAACAAATTTATTTAATGCCTTTCCCAGGAGGAAAGGGAGAAACTTTGTGGAGTGTATCAGGAGCTCTACTGAGGTTCCACAAAATTTCCTTGCATTAGCCAAATGACAGGCTACCAAATTTGTACTTGAATTTAGATTTTTGGGAAGTTTTGCCATAAATATCAGAAAATTAACAGAAACAATATTCAATCTCTATGAAGGCACCGGCTTAGTTTAGTAGGACAATGTTGACAATTAAACCATAACTTTTTTTTTTTTTCATAACTGGAGACTCTTTTTTTTCTTTCTAACGTCGATGGGCACCATGTATACCAATTTGTCAATTACCTGTGGTCAAGACGGTTAGACACAAGGACATACAGACAGACAACATATAGACACAAAGAGCTCTTTAGTTACCATTCATCACGCGTGGGATATTCCATGCAACTGCAGTTTGTCTGATAGGCCAAAGTAACAATAAAAAAAAACAAGCAGAAAAAAAAAAAACTTCAAAGTAAAAAAAAACAAAAGTTGATAGGAAATAACAAAATCAGGATTAAAAACCTTTTTATGTAAAAAAATACTGTCAGCATATGCATGATCCTAGATGTTATTTTACATTTCCTAAACTTTGAAAGGAAGAGATTGGTTAGAGCATGTTAGTTTTTTTTTTCCCCCTCAGGGTTTCTTCAGGAAAAAAAAAAAACGAGTTCTTGGGTATCCTGCAACAATAACTGGAAAAGAAGTCAGTAACATTCAAGGTTTTTTTTGTTTCTTAAACAAATATCTCAAGTCTTCAATGGGTTCACAAGACCAATGGGACTTCGTCTCTGGGTCAGTTCCTTCTGGTGCTTTCTTACCTCTGGAATGATGTACCCAGGGTTTTATACTTGCAAGTTTCAGAGAAGTATGTGTGCTTAGCAAAACGTCATATGGACCAGTCCATTTTTCTGACAGCTGGTTTTGGGCATCCCCACTCTGCCAGGTCTTCAGTAAGACCTGATTTCCAGGTTTGAAGGGATGCAATGGTTGATTAGGAGGCATAGAGATCCTTGAGTTTGCAAAGTTATGAATTACTGCCAGAACCTCCTGGATGTGTTTCACATATTGTGTGATCCGGCAATTTTGAGCTATTTCCGGACTGGCTTTCAGAACTGAGGCCTGGAAGGGTCTTCCAAACACAATCTCAAAGGGGCTTAATTGTAGCCCACTTCTAGGTGCCACTCTTATGCGGAGGAGGGCAAGGGATAGTACCTGGTCCCAACGAAGCTGTGTTTCCTGGCACAGTTTTGCCAAGGTTTTTTTTAAGGTGTGGTTCATTTTCTCCGTTTGTCCAGAAGACTGCGGTCTCCATGCAGCATGCAATTTCCAGTTGATTTGTAACGCACTGCTTACTGCATGAGTAACATCAGAGACAAATGCTGGCCCATTATCACTCTGGATAGAATCCGGCAACCCAAAGCGAGGAATTATCTCCTTCAGCAGCTGTTTTGCAACCTCGGAAGCTTTTTCCCTCTTTGTGGGAAATGCTTCCACCCATCCCGAGAACGTATCCACAAAAACCAACAGGTATTTGAAGTTGCCTGTTGTTCTAGGCATTTGTGTAAAGTCCACCTGCCAGTCCTCAAAAGGGCACTTGCCTCGGTATTGAACCCCAATGGCTTTAGGGTGGGAGTCAGTCTTGGGGTTATTCCTGGCACATAGTTGACAACCTTGGGTGATCCGTTGTGCTATTCTATGTAAATATGGTCCCTTCAAATATGGGCGCACAGTTTCTAATAAGGCATCTCTCCCATAGTGGGATCCTTCGTGAAGATGTTTTAGCACCAGATAAACCAGGGCCTCCGGGAGGAGTATCATCCCATGGGAGTTTACTCTCCAAGTGGAGCTGGGGTCAAACTCAGTAAATCCCCATGCACGAGCTCTCTCCTCATCCCGCTCGGTGTATTCAGGAGCATACTGAGTCAGGTCCACAAGAGGGATGAGTGCACCCTGGAGGGCAGAACGGGCAGTGGACTTAGCTGCCCGACCAGCTGCCCTGTTGCCCTTTGCCAAGTCAGACCCACCCTTTTGGTGGCCAGGACAGTGCATCACAGCGACAGCTGATGGTAAAGCTACTGCCTTTAACAAGGCCAGGATTTCTAATGGGTGTTTGACATCCTTGTTGCTAGCTGTAAGAAGTCCCCGCTCCTTCCAAATGGCCCCATGCATGTGGAGAATTATAAAAGAGTATTTTGAGTCAGTAAATATATTGACTCTTTTACCTTTTGAGAGTTCCAAGGCACGGGTCAGGGCTATTAATTCGGCTTTCTGCGCTGATGTACCTGCCGGAAGAGCCTTGGCTTCCACAGTGTTCTGGAGCGTCACCACTGCATATCCAGCACATCGACGGCCTTGATCCATAAAGCTGCTGCCATCTGTAAATAGCTCCCACTCTGGATCCGGCAGAGGCTGGTCCGTTAGATCTGGTCGGCTGGCATACACTGTGTCTATAGTTTCTAAACAGTTATGGATTAAAGTGTCATCCTCAAGTCTGTCTGCATTGCTTGGAAGCAGTGTGGCAGGATTCAGGGAACTAGAAACCTGCAGTTTCACATTAGGATTGTCCAACAGAGCTGCTTGATATTTTCCCATTCACCCAGCGGTTAACCAAAGTCCACCTTTCTGCTCCAGCAATGTCAAGACCTGATGTGGCACACACACAGTGATGGGCTGACCCAATGTAAACTTCTCTGCCTCGTGTAGGAGGACACAAGTGGCAGCTACAGCACGCAAACATGGAGGCCATCCCTTAGTGGTGTGGTCCAATTGTTTGGACAGATATGCGACGGGCTGCATTTCTGGTCCCAACAATTGGATCAACACTCCTAGGGCAACCCCCTGTCTCTCATGTACATAAAGTCTGAATGGCTTCCTCTGATCCGGAAGCCCTAATGCTGGTACTGAAATTAACTTTACTTTTATTTCATCAAAAGCCTTTTGACATTCCGGAGTCCAAGACAAAGGTTCAGAGTCCAGGCCTTTGAGAGCATCATATAAAGGTTTTGCTATTAGTCCAAAATTAGGAATCCAAATCCTACAAAACCCAGCCATACCCAAAAATCCGCGCAACTGTCGCCGGTTACTGGGGATTCTAAGGGCTGAAATTACCTGTTTTCTTTCCGTCATCAGGCTCCAAATTTGAGGAACCAGGAGACTTAGAAGAAAAGTTGCATGAATACATTTGGATTAGAAATATTTCTACTACAGGAAGCAATGATGTTCCCTACTTAGGAAAACATGCTAAGAAGATAAGTATTCGTAAATTATACTAAACTGGTAGAATTATGCAAGCCTACACTGAACACTAAAATTTTGAAAATGAAAATAAGAGCAGGGGGGAGAAAGTGGGATTTTTTCAGCTACATAATTCACATTTGTTCCAAGGATACAAAATGTACTCCTCACGAGTAAAAACAAATATTCACTTCTGGGATGTCACAGTAATATACATTTTTAAGCTTAATGAAAAGATTTCATTATAAAACACTAGTTCAAGATGCTACAAAAAGAGTCCATTTTAAAATTAATTTTAAAAGGCAAGTTTTAAAGTCTAAAGGAGATATGCTTGTGTGATTATAGAATTAAGTGGTGCTTTTAAGTATTACTCTGATGCAAGAAAATATATAAAACACTAGTTTAAAATTCAAATGGTTTTTCCATCCTCTGTGAACAGCACAAAAATAACTCATTTTCTGCTTATGCCACATAGAATGGTAATACTGGAGAAAGGAACTAGCATAAAAAATTAATAAAACTGCCATTATATAAGTTGAAGATGTAAAAGTCTTCAAATATATCTACAATTATCAAGCAAGACCCAACACTCACCTAGGAAAGAAGAAAGGGATTAAATAATAAAGTGATCAGTATGAAAGACTTGACATGTTAGGCTTAACAACTATGAAAAATAAGGTAAATAAAGTTTCCCAAGAATAGCAGGAAATGTACACACTGCTACAGATATGTAAAAAGTGAAAATCATCTTCCAGAAATAATTTTGCATGTTCTGTTGGAAATCCTTCCTTATGATTCTTTAACAATAAGGATATTTATATTAGGGGTAAAAATCATAAATTGTGATTCCATTCATTTGATGTGCATATATATATTCATTACACACAGATAATATTAGGAAAAGATACATCAGAATCTTCACAGAAAAAAATTATTTCCATGTTATTTTGTCTTTGAGTGCAGCAGCTTAAAATTTAATTTCTCATTAATGGATAGAGATTAAGAACCTCATTTACATAATGAGAAATTTTAATTACTGAAAAGACTAAAATAAATGGGTAACTTATTTCCTCTCTTTATTCTCAAAAAAATCAAATACCTACACCAAGATTATACCAAACAGTAAGCTAAGATAGTTAAAGAAATAAAGTCTCCCTCAAACAAAAGTAAGAAACCACAAGAAACAGAAGAGCCAAAAATTCAAAATTCATAAAATATCAGTAAGACCTCAAACATTTCACTTCCTATTGTCTATGAATACAGGTTTTGTTATATTAACTGTGTCATCATTTTATTAACCTTACAGAAAGTGAGGAATAAGTTTTCTTTCAATTCATCATAAAAATCAGCTATAAGACATTCAGGAGAATCTGAACATTGTTTTTATGATCTGGCTTTGTTAATCTGCATTTAAAATAATTTCTATCGGTGCCTCCCTGGTGGCGCCGGAGGTTGGGCGCAGCGCTATGGAGCTGCCCACAGCCTCTGCAGTGAGGGTTCGATCCCTGCCGGCCGGGGAAATACCCACCTGGTGCCTCAGACCTCTCCTGTCTCGCCCGCTGATCCCCTCAGTAGTATATTTCAATTAGTCTGTCTCTTGTGCTCCCCACTCTGTCTCTGGTGAATCCTCTCTCCCTCCCGTACATCTGGCCCGTACCCCGGTTCTTGCATAAATAAATAAATCTTTTTAAAAATAATAATAAAAATAATTTATATATATTTTATGATAGAGTTCCTGCTTTCACTTAATCCCACATTTCTGTCATGTTTTACTAATAATCTTTCTCATCTCACTGTCTTATCCAATCTTCATATTTATCTTATTCTCACATGAATTCTCCCCTTCATCCTTCTCATCTTCCTATTCATCTAGCTGTTATTCCTAGTTGCTTTCTCATTTTTTCTGTCCACAATAGTATACTTAAGAATTGTTTCCTCATCAATCCACATCTCTCTTTGGTTATTCTGTGCTCTATTATAATCTCAAGGAATTAAATTTCTTTCTAGAATTCTTTCCATCACGGTAAGGATCAGGGGAATGTTATGTACACAAGCATGGGGGGGGGGAGGAGTTTTAAAAACAGAACAAAATGACTTACTTTTGTACGATCCATGACTGCTAAAGACTTGAGAGGCTCAGGTGATGGAAAGGCAGGATGAGAAAAGTCCTGGACTTTGATTGATGGCTTAGAAAGGGTTTCAACTACATCTTCATTTTCACTCTCAGAATTGTTATCCTCAAATAAGGATCTACTTTCTGGTCTCATGATGGCGCATTTGGCTTGTACTATAGTCAAAACAAAGTAAAGAGTACATAAGAATATCTGTATTTTCAAATCAGTGAATAACACAAAAATAGTCTTCAAATGGCTTACTGTTTTTCCTGCATTGCTGAGAAGCAGACATTAGCTTGGCAAAGTTCAGTTTCGGGACAGTCTATGGAAAAAAAATAACAGCTTTAAGAATAGCAAGTATCAAATTGTATAAAATAAATATAATATCACAATAATATTTCCAAATGTTATTTCCTTTATAACTTATTACTAAACAAATACTATGATATCCATTAGATTATTTTATCAGGATAACCAAAAATAAAAACTGTAAGTAGCTTAAAAGTAGTATTGAAAAAAAACTAACACTATAAAATTTGAATTTATTATTTATTATAATTCAAAATGTGCTTGTCTGATTTATACTTGTGTGAATTTTTAATTGTAGGGGACAATGAGAATTTACTTCTGAGCAGTATTTTATATAGATGGGCTGGAATGGAAAACAATGTAAGTAGTTCCTATTTTGTTTGTCTGAAAGATGAAGACAAATGATTGTATAAATTCAGTTGCAAAAATGAAAATGAAAAAAAAAAAAAAAGAAGCTGCCTTGTGGGGCAGTGATTCATGAATGAAAGCAACACTCAGATAATAAAGAGAAACTAAATTAAGAGCAAGAAAATTACTTTCACAAAAGAACACTTTACCTTGGTTTCAAAATCTAAGTCTTCATCATCTGATGTAGGCCATGAATCATCAATGCCAGGTTTGCTGGAAAGCCTTAAGAGGTAAAATACTGACTAAATATGAGTGATTTAATTTATGTATTAAAAAATTCAAGTAAAAGTAGGTTATCTAAATATTAAGTTTCTTGATAAAATTTAAATTTGATCTCCGTTTTTTTAAAAAAAGTTTTCAGTTTTCTGTTTCTTATTCTACCTCTCCAAACATGTAAAATATTCAGTAAAATCACATTCTTAGTTCCCACACAAAAACTGACAGCCCATATATTGGCAAAGTCTGAGAATTCTTTGTTTTTACCAAAAGTCCTGACTTATGTAGTTCAGTAATATCAAGTCTCCTAATTTTTGAAGGGATCTAAGCTACCCTCTATAACCTAAGGTGGAGGGAGAGGATATCACATTGTATTTACTATAACAAATGGCTCAAGTTATTATATATTTCAACAGACACCTTAAAGTTTGCTGGTTCCTTCAATTAAACAAACTAGCAGTAGCCTGTTGAGGGTTCCCTGAGCCCTCCACTTCATGTGCCTTTCTACACAACTTCCAACATACTGTGTCCATTGCTCCTGTAATTTATCTGAGTTGCTATAAACCCTAATATTCACATCTCTTTTCTAAGTCCCTTATCACTCTCCAACCCAGTGTCGTTTCTCTTGAAACATGCCACTTCCCTGCTTATTCCGTTCCAGAGACCACGGAGAGACCACAGCTATTCTTCATTTACAGTAAGACAATCCATCTGAAGGAGTGTAAGGTATCACTCATTATACCTAAGAAGACTTGGCTGATTAGGGCTTGCGTACATAGTTCTAAAGTTCTGGCTATAGCTTCTGAGATCTGCCTTAAAACTTTTGAAGGTAACAACAACGTAATTTGACACTGCAACTGTCAAATTATTTAGGTCAAATGCTTGGACAAACCAGGTTTCTTAGAAGAACTGTAAAGCAAAGTTAACACAAACTAAAGTTAACTTTCTCAGCTGATCTGATTTAGATCTCTCTCCAGTGCCAGTGCTACACAAGTACATGTCAATCTACACTGAAAGACAATGGATTTTTGAGAGAGCAGGATGACTGTCAACTCATGGGTCAGTAGCTTTGTAAACAATGGAATCATGAGCCAATCAAGATTCCTGAACCACAGTTACCTAGTTAGCAAAAAAAAGAGCTATAGCAGCACAGCTACTTTGCAAAACTATGGAGATTACTATATGAGATAAGTTGTTAACCACATAATACAGCGTGTAGGCAGGGTAAAACACTCAACAAATATTAGCTCCTTTTCTCTGCACTTAGTTAACAAATAGTATTTTTAACCAATAAACTCGTACCTGCTTAAAGAATCTTCTTCAGAACTCTCATCCACTAGTAAAGACAAAAGTAAAATACATTTTAAATCAATAACAGAAAAACACAGAGTATTAAAACACAAGTGTAAATCTGATGTTTTGCTAAAATGCATGTCTTTGGAGCCACACCTGGAGATTATACTAGAGTAATCATTCTACTATCAGTATGTAATTAATGTGTTAAAAACTCTTATGACCTTGCCCTTTTATATTTATCAAATGCATGAAACTTGAAATCATTTACCACAATTTGGTACCTACACATGAACTGCTGTTAACAATGAAATGAAACTAACATGAAATGGTATCACTAGCAGAACCAGCATACAGTGCCATACATTGCCAATGTCAAACTTAAATAACATGATTTTTGTGGCTGTCCACTATTAGTAGTTAGAGGAAGTATAATAATCTTGCTGCGACACAACACAACTTCACCTCTTTAGTAGAGACTGCTCAGTTTAGGATGAAACGCCCTATAACAAGGAAGTTCGGTTTACAGTCACTTATTTTGTAGCAGGACAAAAGGGGAAATAGATTCTCTAGTTTTACTTCCAAGTGCAAGATAGGTATGGACTTTGTGATTCTAGTTTTATTAACTGCAACCTGCTCAAACTGTCTCCTTCCATTGGTAGGATCTTTTTCTGTACCCACCTCATAGACCAGGATGGTCCAGTTAATGCTGTGCAGTAGTGCATGATGCCATTTTTTTCAACCCTCCTCATTATGTGACAAATGTCAACAGAAAGCATGCTTTTCCAGCTTATAAGGTATATTTTATCAGATACTATGCTGATGAACAACAGCAAAAACCATAAAAGACAAAGAACATCTTAAAAACTACATTCAACTTCCTTGGATTTTAACTTTTTAAACATTCAAAAAGATGGCCACGGTAGGATTCCACAAGACATTCTGCAAAAGGCAAAGCTATGGAGACAGTAAAAAAGATCAGTGGTCGCCAGAGATTAGGAAAATGGAGGGATGAGTAGGCAGAGCACAGAGGATTTTACGGCCATGAAGCTATTCTGCATAACACTACAATTATTGGATAGGTCACTATACATTGTCATAATGCACACACCTATAGAATTCACAACACCAGGAGTGAATCCTAAGGTAAACACAGACTCTGGGTGATAATAATGAACCAATCAGTGTAAGCTCAGGAGTTGTAACAAATGTACCTCTGGTGCAGGATGTCAACAATGAGGGAGGCTGTGCATGCATGGGGATCTGGGACATGTGGGAACTCTGCACTTTATGCCCAATTTTGCTATAAACCTAAAACTGCTATACAAATGAGTTAATAATTTTTTTAAAAGGTATCATCTGAACCTGGTATTACCATGTATCACTGATATTGTCAGGATATAGTCACCTTGAAAATTAAGATAAAAATCAAAATGACAGACTGTTGATATTATCTCCCCAACTGAAGTATACAAAAATACACAAAGTAAATAAGCCTGATCATATACTTAGGCAGCAAAATTTTACTCATCAATATGACTGAATTTCTTACTTTATAATTAACAGGATTTAGCATAATAGGAACCAGAACTGGATCAATTTTTATTCTAATTATACATCAGCTATCAGTTGGCTAGGCAGGAATTCGATCAAGATGGTATCTTAAGAGGTCTGTTGCATTACTCTTAGGGGGATAATTTGAAAGTTATACAGAGAGGCAATAAACCTGGAGGGTCCTGTGACTTGGGGTGAAACTGGAGCAGCTCTTGGATATTGGCGACCAGCATGGACTGCACCTGAAGAGACTCATGTTTCATTAAACAAGAGGTGCAAGGAGGGCATCTCCTCGAGTTGTGGTCGGGGGCAGGGAGACCTGAACGGTATGGAGGTGCACACCTTTGACTGACGGGAAACATGTACAGAGGAGCTGGGCCACTCCTGTCAAACCAGGTTCCCGGTAGAAAGAATAAGGACCATAGTGCACTGGGTAGCACTCAGCCTTCCCCACCCCTCAGGACTGGTACTGACCTCTTGAAGCGCACTGACAGCGCGCAGCCTGCAGACTCTGGTCTGAAGCCCAGAGAGGAGGGGCATGGGCAGCGACACAAGAACAATCCAGTGCCTCCCCCACGACACATTTCAAACAATAATGGTCCCTCCTGGGCCCTCCCTTCATCCCTCACTCAGTATTCAAGATTAGGCCTCCTGGCCTAAAGAAGTTGAGAAAGACCAATAAATAAATAAATAATAATTAAAATTAAATAAAACCACCGTGCCACTTGATGGAAAAGCAGAAGTAGTGCAAATATTTATGCAACTGTTTCAGGTGCTTTAAAAAAATAGGGACATCTAAAACAGCAAAATGGGCAGACAAAAAAAACAACACGTGGCACAGCTTGAGACCTCAAGGGAATATGTCACTATAGATAAAGAACAATTAACTCTCCATAATCGAACCACAAAGACATGGAAGATTTTATCCTCCTCTTGGTACAGAATTAAACACTGTCATGATAAAGACATTGAAAGAAATAGTAGAAAATGCAGAAAACAAGTCCAAGAGATAACTCTGTAAAGTTAAAAACAAAATTCAGAAAAACAGATGACTCAGATGAGAAATAAAATGAATGACCAAAAAAGAAAAGAACAGGGTTGCAAAATATAAAAAGATCAATAGAGGAGATAAAAAATTCTGGAAAGTCAAAGATGGCCTCAGTGCAGGCCTTTAGGATGATCCAAAGGCTGAACTACATTGGAACTGCACCCAGGGAACCATGTCTGGGGCAAAACTGGAACACGTCTCAGACATCGGAGACCAGACCACACCAGAAAGGACAACAAAAAGATTCATGCATAAGCCAGAAGTTGGTGGAGACAGACAACTGGGGGTTGTGGTCACAGGTGGAAGGCTGCCTTACGAACCACAGCTCTGCTGCCTCGCTGGCATACCTCAGAAGGGACCGAGCCTAGCAGTGCAGAGCCACAACATAGAGTCAGAGGGGAGACATGTGCAGAGGAGCTGGGGTTCTCCCAGCAGGCCGGGTGCCCAGTGAAAGGAATAATGACAGTGCAGTTGGCTGTGTCTCCATTCCCATAGCCCTTAGGATGTGCTGACCTTGTGGACCTCGCTGAGAGCACTCAGTCTACAGAGACATGGGTGTGAAACCCTACAGTGGAGGGATTCAGTGGTGCTACAGGCATGAGCTAACACCCTGCCGCCTGCCCACCAGAGCCTGGACCCTCCAGGCCCTTCCCCAACCCTGACTCAACGGCTTCAAGATCTGGAAAGGCCAACATCTAAAATTATAAAGCTGGGAAAACTTCAAAAAAGAAAAAAAAGAGGGCCTCCCCGGTGGCGCAGCGGTTGAGCGCTGGGTTGCGAAGCTGCGCGCGGCCTCTGCGGCGCCGGTTCGATCCCCGGCTGCTCCCCGGCCACCAGAGGAGGGTCCCACATGGCGCGCAGACCTCTCCTGCCGCCCGCTGCTCCCCTCAGCAGTGTACTTCGGTCCTTCTGCCTGCTCTGCTCCCCGCTCTGGCTCTGGTGAATTCTCTCACCCTCCCGCGCTTCTGACTGTACCCAGTGCATGTATAAACAAAACAAACAAACAAACCAGCAAACAAATAAATAAAGCATGCCTCTATAAAAAAAAAAAAAAAAAAAAAAAAAAAAAAAAAGAGAGAGAGGAATGGAGGGAAGAGAGAGGGAGGGAAGGAAGGGAGAAAGGAAGGAGGGAGAGGGAGGGAAGGAGAGAGGGAGGAGAGAAGAGGGAAGGAGGGAGGAAGACAGTGCCACCTGCTGGAAAAGTAGAACAGCAAAAGTCTAAATTATTGCTACTGTAACATTTAAAAAAATACAGAAATCAAAAGGAGCAAAATAGGCTAACAGAAAAATATAGCACATGGCACCTTGACATATCAAGGGACTATGTTATCACAAGGCAAGAATAACCTTCCAAAATCCAACCACGAAGACATGGAAGATTTTATCCCCCTATCAATAATTCAAAGAACAGGAAGAAAACTCAGAAAAGCAAATGAATGACATGAGAAATAAAATTAATGAACAGAAAACACAAGGTGAAGCTTTAAATGAGAAAATAATGGCTACGCAGGATGTGAAAAGATCAACAGAAGCAATAAAATATTCTGGAGAAGCTATAGAAGCAGAATAGACCACATGCAAGACTGAATTAATGACATCAAAAATTATAATGCACAAAGGACCCAGGAGGAAGAAGAAATAGAAATATAAAGAAAAAGAATCAAGAAACCCTTCAAGAATGAACTGATTCATTAGGAAAGGCAACATAAGTATCCAGGAGCAGAAGAGAAAGAAGGAACAGAGAGAGATCTTGTTCAAAGAAATGATAGAGGAAAACTTCCCAAAGCTGGTGAAGAAACTAAACATACAAGCCCATGAAGTTAAAAGAACACCTGGTTATCTAAATGTAATGAGACCTACACGAAGATGTGAAACTTCCAAGAGTTCAAGACAAAGACAGAATATTGAAGGTAGCTAGGGAACAAAAACAGATCATCTGTAAAGGTACTCCCAATCAGGCTTACATCAGAGTTCTCTGAAGCAACCATACAAGCAAAGAGAAAATAGAATGACATATTCAAAATACTGAAAAATAAAAACTGCCAGACAAGAATACTACATACCCTGAAATACTCTCCTTCAGATATGAGAAATAAATGCCTTCCCAGACAAACAGAAATTGAAAGAATTTGTAAACACTAGTCTCCAACTGCAAGAAATGTTGAAAGGAGCTCTTCTAATTCAGAGAAGAAAATCTACAAATAAAAACCTGACCAAGGAAATAGATAAGTAAACTAAAGACAAAAATGACACTGTGCTTAAAATGAAAATATACCCCACTGAATGGCAGAAAATATTTGCACATGAAATATCTGACAAGAGGCCAATAGCTAAGATCTACAAAAAATTCATACAACTGAACAGCAACAATAAAACCTCCAAATCCAATCAAAACATGGGCACAAGGGCTAAAAAACCTCCAAAAAAAGCACAGAGATGAC